GCATTACAGATATTAAACTAATAATAATTCAAACTACACGGCCTTAAATATTGCATATTTTTTAAGCAACGGAAATATATTCCGAATGCCAACACAAGCCCTAAATACGGTGACAGTCACATGTGTTTACATACCTGTTCTGAGATCAGATGCGGCAGATTTGGACGTGGGAAAGGTATGCATTGTGCGGTAAGCTTGACTAGTTTAAGGCAACCGTGTTCTGAAACCATCCAAATCTCTCGGGACTCACTGCACCGAACCAGCAAATCGGCACCTGCTGTATTGTTGCTATGGCAACAGATGCAAGCTACCATGGTATCTACGTCACCTTGACGTCAATGTATAATCGACTTGATTACTCTGTGAAATTTGCACGTGCTGTCAAAGCTGTGTTCGGCGACGAGCTCTCTGTCAGCGGTATGCTGTATCGATAGAGCCTGCAATTAGCTTGGTGCTCGGTCGACCTGAAACCAACTAGAGTTCGATTAGCACGTGCTCTGTCTCTTTGGAAATGACAGTAGGTACAGGCAGTCAGGTAGCTTGAGTGTCCTGCTGCATATTAGAAAATAACAGTATTGATGGTGAAACCCCATTAGACGCATGCCAACGAATGAGACGGCTGGTCTAAGTGCTCTCTTGCAGAGGTTTAATCGCGAGGGTCGGTAGGTGTTTGCGTGCAGCGGGTTGGCATACACGATCACATATTCAGGGTGTTGGAGAGGTGTGAAAAAACGAAGGGTATCTCAGTCGGTGTGAATTGTAAATGTCATCGTATGGAGCAGGTTGTGTTCAGAAGTGATATGGAATCTGGTGTGTCAACAGGAGGAATAAAGGTGATATTCTTCCCCTTCCTTGGCGTATATATTTCTCCATATCGTGATGTAACACTGTTCATGTGGCTGATTGTGAAGACTGGAGACTGGCCAGTGTGACACCGTGTCTGGAGCTGAACATCTACTCCTGCCACTGGGGTCCACGAAGGGGTCTTGTAGAAATACTGCGGTTAGACTCCGTGCATAGGCATGTTGTTTCATGTCTCACTATATGGGAGATGTGACGTATATCTCGTACCATGCACTGTGGTAGATGTGACATATATCTCGTACCATGCACTGTGGGAGATGAACACGACCCATATATCATTTCATGCACTGAGGGAGATGTGACATATATCTCATATCATGCACTGTGGGAGATGTGACATATATCTCATATCATGCACTGTGGGAGATGTGACATATATCTTATATCATGCACTGTGGGAGATGTGACATATATCTCATATCATGCACTGTGGGAGATGTGACATATATCTTATATCATGCACAGTGAGAGATGTGGCATATATCTTATATCATGCACTGTGGGAGATGTGACATATATCTCATATCATGCACTGTGGGAGATGTGACATATATCTCATATCATGCACTGTGGGAGATGTGACATATATCTCATATCATGCACTGTGGGAGATGTGACATATATCTCATATCATGCACTGTGGGAGATGTGACATATATCTCATATCATGCACTGTGGGAGATGTGACATATATCTCATATCATGCACTGTGGGAGATGTGACATATATCTCATATCATGCACTGTGGGAGATGTGACATATATCTCATATCATGCACTGTGGGAGATGTGACATATATCTTATATCATGCACTGTGGGAGATGTGACATATATCTTATGTTTTGCACTGTGGGAGATGTGGCATGTATTTCATATCATGCACTATGGGAGGTGTGATGTATATCTTATATCATGCACTGTGGGAGATGTGGCATATATCTTATATCATGCGCTGTGAGAGATCGACATATATCTAATATCATGCACTGTGGGAGATGTGGCATATATCTTATATCATGCGCTGTGGGGGATGAACACGTGACACATCATACCATGCACTGTGAAAGATTGACATATATCTCATATCATGCACCGTGGGAGATGTGACATATATCTCATATTATGCACTGTGAGAGATCGACATATATCTAATATCATGCACTGTGGGAGATGTGACATATATCTCGTATCATGCACTGTGAGGGATTGACATATATCTCATATCATGCACTGTCGGGGATCTGACATATATCTTATATCATGCACTGTGGGAGATGTGACATATGTCACATATCATGCACTGTGGGAGATGTGACATATATCTCATATTATGCACAGTGAGAGATGTGGCATATATCTTATATCATGCACTGTGGGGGATGAACAAGTGACCCATATCATACCATGCTCTGTCGGAGATGTGACATATATATCATATCAAATCCTTTGGGAAATGTGACATATAGCTCATATCATGCACTGTGGGAGGTGAACAGGTGGCGTGTGTCTGATATCAGGTATTGTCGGAGATGTGACATATATCTCATATCATGCTTTGTGGGAGATGAACACGTGACACATATCATATCATGCACTGTGGGAGATGTAACGTATATCTCATAGCATGCACTGTGGGAAATGTGACATATATCTCATATCATGCACTGTGGGAGATGTAACGTATATCTCATATCATGCACTGTGGGAGATGTGGTATATATCTTTTGTCATGCACTGTGGGAGATGACACGTGACACATATCATACCATGCACTGTGGGAGATGAACACGTGACACATATCTCATATCATGCTATGTCGGAGATGTGACATGTATCTCATACCATGCACTGTGGGGGATGAAACATATATCTCATATCATGCACTGTGGGAGATGTAACATATATCTCATATCATGCACTGTGCGAGATGTGACATATATCTCATATCATGCACTGTGGGAGATGTGACATATATCTCATATCATGCACTGTGGGAGATGCGGCATATATCTTATATCATATACTGGGGGGGGTGGGGGGGGGGGGGGGGGGGGGGGGAGTGAACACGTGACCCATATCATACCATGCACTGTGAGAGATTGACATATGTCTCATATCATGCACTGTGGGAGATGTGACATATATCTCATATCATGCACTGTGGGGGATGAAACATATATCTCATATCATGCACTGTGGGAGGTGAACAGGTGACGTGTGTCTGATATCAGGTATTGTGGGAGATGTGACACATATCTCATATCATGCTTTGTGGGAGATGAACACGTGACACATATCATATCATGCACTGTGGGAGATGTGACATATATCTCATATCATGCACTGTGGGAGATTAACATTTATTACTTGCCCGTGAAGAGATCACCCGTTTAATAAACATATAGCTTTATTACACATTGTGTAATACCAAAACGCGTGCTTATGTACTCTCGGAACACGTTTCACGAACAAATATTGAAAGCTCTCAACATCGCTTGGCTTATTCAACGACATTGCGTGTGGAGTTGATAGATCACTGAGAGGAGCTTATGCACACTCGATGACCCCAGCAACCTTGTTGCTAGGCTGACGTCACATGGCATTGTTTCGCCGATGGATCTTGCATCAAAATTCCACAAATTACGTCATCGGGTATTGTGACGTTATTGAAAACTTTGAGTTGCAAGGCCCGTTCCACAAGACGATCGTATTGTAGCGCAACGACAGTCGTTGGTCTAAGTTAAAGTATGTGAGATGCAAAAGTCTTAGCCCTACGCTAATTTTGTGAATTCTAAAGGTAGACCCGTTGCATGGTATGAAATTCATACGTTTCAACTTTTGACGTGTTTGAAGTATTATTCTGTTAAAGTCAATTGGACTATGTCGTGGATCATGTAGGTGTCAGCCTATTCATACTCAACAGTATAATTCAAAAAACGTTATAAATTGCAAGTAATAAATAAAATACTTAACTCGCTCCCGTGTAAAACCAATTTTATGAAACTCGTGAATAGTTGTGGTATCTGACTCGCTTTCGCTCGTCAGATACCACAACTATTCACTCGTTTCATAAAATTGGTATTACACGGGAGCTCGTTTAGTATTCTATATATATCTCATAGCATTCACTGTGGGAAATGTGACATATATCTCATATCATGCACTGTAGGAGATGTAACATATATCTCATATCATGAACTGTGGGAGATTAACATATATCTCATATCATGAACTGTGGGAAATGTGACATATATCTCATATCATGCACTGTAGGAGATGTAACATATATCTCATATCATGAACTGTGGGAGATTAACATATATCTCATATCATGAACTGTGGGAAATGTGACATATATCTCATATCATGCACTGTAGGAGATGTAACATATATCTCATATCATGAACTGTGGGAGATTAACATATATCTCATATCATGAACTGTGGGAAATGTGACATATATCTCATATCATGCACTGTAGGAGATGTAACATATGTCTCATACCATGCACTGTGGGAGATTAACATATATCTCATATCATGAACTGTGGGAAATGTGACATATATCTCATATCATGCACTGTAGGAGATGTAACATATGTCTCATACCATGCACTGTGGGAGATGTAACATATATCTCATATCATGCACTGTGGGAGATGTAACATAGATCTCATATCATGCACTGTCGGGGATCTGACATATATCTTATATCATGCACTGTGGGGGATGTGACATATATCTCATATCATGCACTGTGGGAGATGTAACGTATATCCCATATCATGCACTGTGGGAGATGTGGTATATATCTTTTGTCATGCAATGTGGGAGATGACACGTGACACATATCTCATATCATGCACTGAAGGAGATGTGACATGTATCTCATACCATGCACTGTGGGAGATGAACACGTGACACGTATCTCGTAGTGATTCCGGGATGTGGGGCATGGTTTCAGAGGCGGCTGAATGGGTCGGGTGGTCAGGCGAGCTGACTTGGTTAAATGGTGGTATCCCGATCGATGCTCATAATATCAATCACTTGATTTTCTGTTGCAGACAGTAGTTTATACAGGCCGACGTTACTTAGCTGGAATACTTGGGCGTTTAACAACAAACAAAACAATTCCAATGTCGTATGAGTATTTATTACCAGAATCCTACTGACTGAAATTAACAATTTCTCATGTGGTGGAAGCACGATAAAAATTACACATGAACAATTTACCAACAAATATTACTCAATACTTATAAAATCATAAACAATAAAATAAAATCAATATCTATTTAACTTTTACTCGAGTTGTGTGTTGAAGTGAAGACTAGTGCTATGACGATCGTATCGCCCATGCTTACGATAGTCGTAGCGCTAACAACAAAAGTGGACTTCGGTTCCAGTAGAGCTACTCATAACCCATCCCATCTAGATAATCGCATCTAACATTATTCCTGTTGATATCGATAACTGGATCCGGCTCGGTAAACCTTATGTTTTTGGTAGCTCCGTTGGCAACGGAACGGAATTTCAACCACATCGGCAGATCTTTGGATCTTAGCCTGAACGGCGATTGTTCTGGGAGATCGCGCCAGTGGGCATTGGGGGTTCCGTAGATACCAAAGCTAAGCCAATAGGTGATCATCTGCTCTGACACCTTCTCGTCTGCTGGGGTTGTTTGGAAGCCGAGTCGGGCAGGGGCTCGGAATAGGAAGGGGACGTCCGCCAGGTGGCAGACCCTGTCCACACAGTCCACGGAATCCCCCCAGAACTCTCGGAAGGGTACAGGCTGGTCAAAGATGAACCACCAGGCCGGGGCATGCTCTCGGATCTTCTGAGCCACGTATCTCGCAGAGCACAAAAATAACCTGTCGGTCATGAAGTTGACCAGGTTCTCGCGGTTGTCATCAGCGGCCGGGGGATACTGGTCAGCCACGATTTGTGTGAAATCATTAGGTTGGAAGTAGCTCATGGCGGCCCAGTAATCCGTCTCGTTCACGGCAGTGGTGTAATAATCATAAATGCTTCCTACGGATTCTTCAGAGGTGGACCCGATCATGACCTCCTTGCTGCTAAGGGTCACGGTCTCGAACTGTTCTACGAGGCTTCCTTTGATCTCATCGCCGTCAATGACCGGACCCCAGGACTCCAGTGATAAGTATGGGTTGGTGGAAATGTAGATGGATGTTCCTTGCCAGGCGGTCAGCATCTCATCTGCTGTTTTCGACTTGTAGCACGACATGTCCCCTTGGGTGCAGCCGAGATTTTGTGAGAAGAGGTAGTCCTGATATGCTCCCTCTGCCGGAGTTTTGAAAGAGATCCCGAAAGGGGCGCTGTGCATGATCGCCCGACTGAAAAGGTTGTCAGCTTTGCCGGAAGTGAGATGAATTGCCACGGACTGCGCACCTGCACTGTCCCCAAAGATCGTCACCTATAAACACAAAACAATGAAAAAGGAAACATGCGAAAGATTGCAGTTACGTTTAAAAACATCGGTTATTACGAAGCCTAACACTGGTTTATACACGTTTCTAAACGCGTTTGACCCGTGAAGATTCCGGGGTAGAATAGGTCTTCAGCAACCCATACTTGCCGTAAAAGGTGACTATGCTTGTCGTAAAAGGCCACTAACGGGATCGGGTGGTCAGGCTCGCTGACTTGGTTGAAGCATTCCATCGATTCCAATTGCGTGGATCGATGCTCATGATCTGGTCAAGTCAAAGTCAAAGATGTTTATTGTATCAAAGGCCATCGGCCCATATACAAGTTCAGATAAATACAGTGGGTGAGAATTTACAGATTGGGAGATACAACAAAAATTATATAAATATAACATTCATTTAACAATCGGTGATAATCATGAGGACTTTCTAGGGTGAGGTAATTAAAATTATGAATTTCCACTCAACATGTTATTTCGTAGTTCCATCCCATGTTTTACAAATAAAGACAGTTTAAACATTACATCGGCATCATTCGATGACAAAATAGAAACAAAAGGTATTCTACTTGTCTTAGATAAGAAACATTCTGGTATATATTTAGTACGTAATTCTGCATAATAAGGACATTCAAAGGTAAAATGTATTTCGTCTTCTATTGCAGAGTTACAGAATGGACAAATTCTTTGTATTCTTTCAAGTGATATATTCCGTCCATAGTTAATCATAAGTTTTGACAAGCCAAGTCTGTATTTAATATATCCATTTCTTAGGTGACTATTTGTTAAAACTGATAGATATTTTTCTGGCTCTAATAGAGTCTTAAATGTTCTGTACAAATCATAACGTGAACTATTTTCCAAGTTGCATTGCCACCCTTGATAGAACATATTTATTGCTATTTTACGAAAATCATTTAGAAATAAATGTTGATCACCAACAGATTGGTTAAGCCATATATACCCATATCCATGTGAGAATAATAGTGTCCTAATATGCGATACCCATGTAACCTTACCGATACTATCTAAATGAAAGAGCATGTTATAAGCTTTTTTCGGAAGCCGATGTTCTGGCATACGGATGATATTAAACCAATATTTTAAACACTTTATTTGTGAATTAATGTAAAGTGGGTATCTTCCACATTCTCCATATATCATATTATTTGGTGTTGCTATTCCAACGCGAAGAAACTTTTTACATGCCAGTAGGTGAATTCTTTCTAAACATTCATATCTTCGGTAACCCCACACTTCAGATCCATACAATAAAATTGGCTGTATTTGAGTATCAAATAATTTGAAAAATACTTTTGGAGTAATAACTCCAAGTTTATGTGAAACAGACATTATATTAAGTAAAGCTCGTTTCCCTCGCAGTGATAAGTCAGATACACATTTGTTCATATTTAGTGTTGAATTAAACATTATGCCGAGATACTTATAACCATTAACTACATTAATTTGTTGTCCATTTAAGTACCATCTTTCCCTAAAATTTAAAGGACCCCCTTTTCTGAATACTATAATTTCTGTCTTATCTAAATTTACAGATAAATTCCATTCCTTAGTATATTTATCTAATACATTCAACTGATTCTGTAGACCAATAACAGTGTCAGATAGTAAAATAACATCATCGGCAAAAAGGAGCATAAGAAGTTCAAGGATGTCAGGATACATCTGTATACCATGCTTGCCGTTACTTGAGATTTCATAATATAATTCGCTTATGAAAAACGAAAATAACAGAGGACTCAGTATACATCCCTGACGTAAACCAGATGGGCAATCGATAAAATCAGTAACACCATAATCACTACGTACACATGACTTGATATTTGAATACATTGATTGTATTATATTAAACATCTTCCCTTGTAGTCCAGCTTTTCTTAAACGACACCATAATTTATAACGATCAACTGTATCAAATGCCTTTTTAAAATCAATAAAAGCAACGTAAACCTTGTGTTTACGACGTGTTAGACATTTTTGAATTGCAGCATATAATGTAAAAATATGATCTACGGTTGAATAATTTTTTCTAAAACCAGCTTGAACTTCCGGTATCTTATCTCATGATAATGGTCCAGACTCGATTATTTACAGACCGCCGTCATATAGCTGGAATATTGCTGAGTGCGGCGTAAAGCAACAAACCAACCAAACCAAGTTGAACTGGTCGTGACGCCACCGTTCTGCGCACACTGAACTTCTCGTATATAGACTCTAACGTGGACATTACACAGCGAAAAAATCAGAAATAAAATCCGCCAAAACAGATTACACGGGTTTTTAAAAGCCATCATTACGGTGAAAATTATGTGGATCACTGAAAACACAGTGAATGTCTCAAGACACTCAGTAGGTTTACATGTCGCCGTCTGCCTATGGCACAACTGAATATACATACCTTTTCTGGATTTCCGCCAAAAGCAATGATGTTGTCCTGGACCCACTGCAATGCCACACGTTGGTCCTTGATACCATAGTTACCGGAATAAACAGTTTGGCCGTCGCTTTGAGCCAGAAATCCAAATGGACCTGTTCATGCAAAGTGTCAAATCAGAAATAACTGTTTATGGCAGAATATTCTCGAAAATAGTAATTATGCTTCAGACTGTTCCCCCAAAATAAAATTGCTTAAATAAGATATAACCATTGTTGCAAGATGTAACTGAAAAAGTACCCTGTCTTCATACAAAATACCGCCCCCCTCCAACGAATATCCAATGGTCGGTCCCTAACGAGTGTGGAAGCCTTTCAATAGTTCCTTTGTAAGAAATAATATCCTTCTTCATGCTGAAACGAGCAATATTTCAACTCTGTCTTTCTATCAGTGTTTGTGTGTATATGTGTGTGTGCGTCATTTTGTGTCTCAATGTATGACTCCATTACGCCCTTCTCTCTCTCTCTCTCCCTCACTCTCTCTCCCCTCCCCCTCTCTCTCCCTCACTCTCTCTCTCCCCCTCCCTCTCTCTCTCTCTCCCTCACTCTCTCTCCCCCCTCCCCCTCTCTTTCCCTCACTCTCTCTCTCCCCCTCCCTCTCTCTCTCTCCCTCACTCTCTCTCCCCCTCCCTCTCTCTCTTTCTCCCTCCCTCCTTCCCTCTCTTTCCCTCACTCTCTCTCTCCCCCTCCCTCTCTCCCCCCTCCCTCTCACTCTCTCTCCCCCTCCCCCTCTCTTTCCCTCACTCTCTCTCTCCCCCTCCCTCTCTCTCCCCCCTCCCCCTCTCTTTCCCTCACTCTCTCTCTCCCCCTCCCTCTCTCCTCCCTATCTCTCCCCCCTCCCCCTCTTTCCCTCACTCTCTCTCTCCCCCTCCCTCTCTCCTCCCTATCTCTCCCCCCTCCCCCTCTCTTTCCCTCACTCTCTCTCTCCCCCTCCCCCTCTCTCTCTCTCCCTCACTCTCCCCCTCCCTCTCTCTCTCTCCCTCACTCTCTCTCCCCCCTCCCCCGCTCTTTCCCTCACTCTCTCTCTCCCCCTCCCTCTCTCTCTTTCTCCCTCCCTCCTTCCCTCTCTCTCCCTCCCTCTCTCTCCCTCCCTCTCTTTCCCCCTCCCCCATCTCTCTTTCTCCGTCCCTCCTTCCCTCTCTCTCCCTCCCTCTCTCTCTCCCTTCCTCCCTCTCTCTCTCCCTCACTCACTCTCACTCTCTCTCCCTCCACCTCTCTCTCTCTCTCTCTGTTGTCGTGGTTTCTTACCCAGACGGTAATTCATGCTGACGAAGATGACATCCCCTCTGGAGACGATGACCTCGCCGTCATACAGAACACTTCCGCCGCTGAAGTACTCGAAGTTGCCGCCATGTATCCACACCATCACAGGGAGGCTGGCGGAAGTAGGGTTCAAAGGTCGGAACACGTTCAGAAACAGACAGTCTTCAGAAACCTGTTGATGAGAATTCTCGGGTCAATTAACTACATCCACCGTTTTGCTTGAAATGAAAGAACTATACAGGATACATAATTATGAATATATAAAAAAATCACGTCATGTCACCAAATTCTGATTTTCTCATCGGATGACCAACCTTACGTTTTCAAGACTGGAATAAATAATTTCGGCAACCACGGTCAAAGGTCAAAGGTTCCATCGATACAAATAGGCGTTACAGTACAGACACGTCTTTGTAACGATTGGATTTCAAGAAAATTGGCTCAGGCTTGGAAGCAACGGTTTAGTGCTAGTATTTGTAAGACTCGTACAGGTACGCATAATACGCCTCTCCAATTAACACCAGTGCCCAAACAAACGTCTATTAAGAAATACCGTACTTCACATAGCTAAACGATCATTGTTGATACGGACTGCCTCCGTGGTCTAGTGGTAGAGCGTCCGCCCGGAGAGCGGAAGGTCCGGGGTTCGATCCCCGGCCGCGTCATACCAAAAGACGTTAAAAGATGGTACTTGTTGTTACCTGTCTGCTCGGCATAAAGGGGCTAAAACAAGGACTGGTCGGCTCAGAGTCACTTTATACTGTGTCTGAGTGGGGTATTCATGTTAAACTGCGGCATGGTATCTCAGTGAGCTAGCACTTTAAATCGGCATTAGTCAGGACTAGTACAAGCAGCCACACACACACGTGCATGCACGTCGCTATATAAGTGCAATAATCTTGGACGCGACGTTGAACCCAATTTCACCTCACCTCATCATTGTTGATATTGGCTCTGCAAAATGCTGTCCAGTAGTAAATGTAAGTTCTTGCAGTCATTAATTCTATTAAATACAATGTCTCAGTGTTACACACATCAAAGAATTTGTACCAAGTACCCATCCTCGACAATACAGGGTGTTATATCTCCATTCTATTACAATAAATACCCTGGACCCAGTCATTGCCCTAGTTTCGTTCGGGGCCCAAATTAAGCGCCACAACACTGAAATAAGACGTCCAATCAAATGACAGCAGTGAGCGAGGGGAACATTGTGCTATGACAGCGATAAGAGAGATAGGGATGGTGACGTCACTTCACCATTGTCCAATGAATCCAGAGTATTTATCCAAATGGAACGGACTTATAATACACTGGATTAGCGTCGATGCCAAACACCGGCGTGTGGATCATAGCCCCACCATTAGTCTGTCTTACAGACCCTGATACAAATATACATCAAATACAGCCCATGCAAGTCTATAATGTTTGGCAAGTCTAGATTACTGCAGTATCTGAAAATGAAGAGAGTCACTGGGCTCCCTTTTATTATATTTTTATTAAGACAACTGAACAACTGTTTTTTTCTGTACGATATGTTCATTTCAGAGACTACATTCTTTAAGTGGCATTTTGAAGTTGGTGTGATGAAGTAAGACAAGTTCTATAGATGAACAACTTCTTTATTACAATTAGTGCGACGTGTCGGTGTAGATCCTAACACCTTTATCAAGCAAGTGATGGATAGTGCTAAACAACATAGGTATATATACTTATTAACATCAATGTTTATACAGTAAATTGATTGATGGACACAGAGAGCTGATTAAGATAATTTGAAGCCAGTGAATGACTAATGGGACAGGGTAAACAACCACGGAAGCTGATTGGGATGACAAGAGACTAGATGTTAGTCCACCCCACCATAAACGCTACCTACCTCATCCTGACAAATGAACGCCGAGTCCTCGGGGCAGTACTGGAAGCATGCCGGTCCGACCGTGGTGCCGTTCAGAACGCCCGTCCATGTTGAAGGGGCCGGGTCGGCGAACCTGGAACATGTCACGTGACCTTGTAACCTCGACTTCCGGTCTCTCAATACTGTGTATCATATGACCTTATTTTACTCCCTCGTTAAACGGGTAAACTTTTTGAGGCCAAAATGCAGAATTCTCTATTATTGATGTATACAACTAAATTTGTATTTTCATATCGACCTGTGAAGGTTAATTTGTTATAAAAAACACCCATTAACCCATAACATGACAATCTTATCGTTACCCGTCAGTGTAATATGCTTCGGTGAACTCTGTTGTCCTGTCATGGTGTTACATTGGACAGTCTTCATCTTCCGGTAGACACAAGGTATATCTCCGTACCAACATATTCGGAGTTATGAAAAACTTGCGGGCAAGTGAAAGCATATACTAGTAATGTGATGTTTTAATAAAATTTGCCACAATTGTTTGATCAAATATGTAGTTACAGTACTAGGCTTACAACAGTCATTGTATGCCCCCCGTCCGTCTCACTCACTCCCCCCTCTCCCGTCCGTCTCATTCACTACCCCCCCCCCCCCACCCCCCCCCCCCACCCCCCCCACCCCACCCCCCACCCCCACCCCCCCTCCACCCCACCCCCGTCTCTCTGGTGGCCCAGTCGTCTCAGGCGATTCGCTGTGCAGAGTTGCGTCCCTTGGGCACGCCAGAAACCTTTGATTGTGGGTTCGAATCCCGGTTTGGCCCGATTATGTTTCTAGGTTTGTCAGCACAATACCCGTGCTTGTGGGTTTCACCGAAGTGGTAAACGTCTGAGACCTGCATCACTTCGGGCTTTCCTTATATAGAGCGTGTGTGCATCTCTCTCTCTCTCTCTCTCTCTCTCTCTCTCTCTCTCTCTCTCTCTCTCTCTCTCTCTCTCTCCCTCTCTCTCTCTCTATCTCTCACCTGTCGGCAGTAGCATATTTTATACCAAGGAACTTCTCGCAGCGGTTTGTCTGAACCCCCTCCACGTCCCCCAAGTTAGTTGTGACGACGACAGAAGCGGCAAGACTACAGATGCACTGCAGTATCAGTACCGTAACTAGACACGACAACGACCCCATTGCAACGATCACATACAATGTTTAATGAATGAGGACGTTGTATGCTTATATAGCCAACTGGCCAGTGCGATGCCATTTAATTAACTCCCTTTACGACTGGGACTCTGATATCATCGTCATATAATGGACATTAGAACATTGAGATTAAATGACAAGACGTGTAACATTTGTGAGACTAATTCATATTCATCGTGATAAAATGATTTAGTGGTAATAACAGGTATCACATGACCCCAACATTGTCCTATGCCTGTAGTATACGAGAAAATGATGTCAGGCGTAATACATGCATGGTGTGGGATTGATGAACAGATGGTCTGCGAATGGTCTGCTAAGTAGAACATTACAATGATAATTATTGGGCCACATACAAATAATAATTGACCTTGTTGATCATCAACAACAACAACAACATCAACAACAACAACAACAACAACAACAACAATAATAATATTGTTGTTATTATTATTATTTCATATATTATTATTATAACTACTACTACTACTACTACTACTACTTCGTATCTAATTCGATTTCCCAACAACAACAATAATATTGTTGTTGTTGTTGTTTTTATTATTATTATTATCATTATTATTATTATATTATTATTATTATTATTATTATTACTACTACTACTACTACTACTACTACTACTACTACTACTACTACTACTACTACTACTACTACTACTACGTATTTATTTCGATTTCCCAAACACTCCAACCTAGATTCAGAACTTTACAAAACGAAAACATTACTTTTTCTTATTTGGAACATCACGAATAGCAATGCTTGACAACAGAAGGGTTGCATTAAATGCGTAACTTTGAAAAGGAAGTGATGAAATGCAATGTATCTTCTGGTTTGGGCATGTGGCCTTTATACTCATACACACACCTGCACATATGTTGTCTCGTTGAGTGTCTGAGTGATGGGTGAGTGAGTGAGTGAGTTTGGTTTTTACGCCGCTTTTAGCAATATTCCAGCAATATCACGGCGGGGGACACCAGAAATGGGCTTCACACATTGTACCCATGTCGGGAATGGAACCCGGGTCTTCGGCGTGACGAGCGAACGCTTTAACCACTAGGCTACCCGACCGCCCCTGAGTGATGGGTGTGTGGTGGCAAGTGCTATATTTGAAATTATTAAAAAAAAACAATTTAGAAAAGCTCAAATCTTGAGAGCAAAAGTAACGCGTGTGTTCGTGTTTTCGAGGCTATTTTACACAATGCATAATAAAACAGTTTCAGTTCGGAGAGACACCTGTGACCGGGTATATCTGTTGCGGTTATTGGTCTGTAATATACAATGTCATGTATATATCCGTGTAATCAACAACATCAAATATCTACATGGCGATACAGATCTTCAGCGTGTCATTTGTCGACCTTTTCTGGCTTTGATTTTGTGTCGGTTATATTCCAACCATCAGGCTTATCTCTGTGATGAAACTGTCGTATAGGCCAAACAGGTTTCCGATATCATGCTGACACGCCGTGATATAACTGGAATACTGATCACTCACTCACTTACTCACTCACGCATGCATGCATGGTTGTGTGTTATAGCAATCTGCATGGCTCTTGTGTTTCTAATTCTGTCAATTTGCGTTTTTTCTAAGGTGGCATTTATGCGTTATATTTCGGGTACTGCATCAAGTTATCCTTGATGAACACTGGTGAACGCATCCCTTGTCAGAAAAGTGGTAACCTCGTGTGACTCAGGTCACTCGAAGTTTGATAGTCGAAAGTACGTAGTTCATAAAGATTTTAATAATCCATCCCTTTTTGTGTTGATAAATCAAACTGGTTCCACTATTTGTTCACGCAGCAGTATTAATCCTTTTAGCTGCTCGAGTTTTTTTTCTAGCAGAAGCCCAGTCAATTGATAAACGAACGGTTGCTGATCAACACACGCCGTGCCAGAACGGCCCCGTATTTACTGGTGAAAACTGACCTCAGGTAAAGAAATTAAATATTATGTATTTAACCACTTCTCAAATCAAACATTAGTGAAATATTATAGCTGATGATTAGATTGTTGTTGGTTTGTTGTTGAACGCCTCACTCAGCAATACTCCAGCTATATGACGGCGGTCTGTAAATAATCGAGTCTGGACCAGACAATCCAGTGATTGATATCATGAGCATCGATCCACGCAATTGAGATCGATGACATGCATCAACCAAGTCAGCGAGCCTGACCACCCGATCCCGTTAGTCGCCTTTTACGACAAGCATAGTCACCTTTTACGGCAAGCATGGGTTGCTGAAGACCTATTCTATCCCGGAATGATGATGATTAGATGAATAAATTATGTAACAAACTCGACTTCACATCTACATAGATAACATACAAATCAAATAAAACAAATAATGTGTTGCCTTATTGCGCTGGTCGATGTCACTGATTTCGTATTGTTGTAGAGAGAGGCTAGGGTGGCCCGATCTTAAAAGGAGCCGCGATTCGCTGTGCAGAGTTGCGTCCCTTGGGCACGCCAGAAACCTATGATTGTGGGTTCGAATCCCGGTTCGCCCCGATTATGTTTCTAGGTTTGTCAGCACCATACCCATGCACGCGGGTTTCACCAAAGTGGTAAACGTCTAAGGCCTGCATCACTTCGGGCTTTCCTCCCACATTAAGCTGACACGCCGTGATATAACTGGAATACTGTTAAAAGCGGCGTTAAACCCAACTCACTCACTCACCTCTTATTTCTGTCTTCAGCGTTAATGATCAAATACTCAATCTGTGAAGTTATTATTGTTGACTTATTAATTTATAAGAATTGGGTTCAATATTATTTTACCTTTACTTGGGTATAAAAGCACAAAAAACATCCTGGCGTGCACACTGGGTAAATGTGTGTAGCTTCATATACAAAAAAAAATGAAATAGTCAGATACTTCAGTTGTGTCATATCTCCCGAGGTAAGGGAGGTAACTGACTATGAAACTCCAGTTTCCGCGTTTCCTCGTGAGATATGCATCAGATACGAGGGGTGGCTCAACGGGTCCAGTCATATTGTTTCCTCTTGGGGAAACAGATTACCTAGTACACAGAATTAGAAGATAAACATTCTGTGTTTTCAATGTGGAGCTAATTTACCTGTGAATTTTACCGCGGTTAATTGAATTTGGAACCGAGCGAGCAGCGCGAGGTTTCAAATGTTAAATTTACCATGACTAAATAAAACGCGAACCCTTTGGCTGAGTGAAGCGACATGGGTCCAGTGTTTTGAGTGGGTTGTCGATCTGAATTATAGAATCATCCACAACAGCCTTGAAACAAAATATGGCGCTGTATATGCTCAAGCAGTTTGTTTACACCGTAATACTTCACTCGAAGATATGACAGGCTTTGAAAACATTTAAGCACGGTAAATGTGTCAGCTAACATAAGCTGGGCCCCGTCTCTAATATCACCCCCATGCCATAAGCTGGTTCCCGGCTCCCTATGCGCGTCGTCATTGGCGCCAATGACGACGCGCATAGGGAGCCGGGAACCAGCTTATGGCATGGGGGTGATATTAGAGACGGGGCCCAGCTTACTCCCAACGACAACCAAGCAAGCATTGCCAAACTTTCGTTCTCCACCGCAAGCCACCATTATGACGTCATATCGGTCACTGTGGCGCAATAGATATGAAGTCACAGTCGTATATAGAAAAGAGCCAAATTCCGAAACTTAAATACATTCTCTTTGTAGATTTCTATCGTGTTTTCTGCACGAAATGTATTGCCACACAACCTTTGGATACGTGTTTACAGTCGGATTAACACGTACTTCGAGTGTAATCCGTGAACAGGTTTGCACAACTCGTTAAGTCAGGCTACCTCGATATTACTTTTAATCTTTGGTCACGGAAAACGTTATTAATGGGGTACACGAATATACAAGTGTTAATTTGTATACGTGACTGCTGTTTGTTCACAATTCTTTCTGCAAAGACGAAATTCTTTTCGAAGAAATGTCTACGTTACGTCTGTCTATAACGTTCTAGTTGAATATATATACTTATATTATGGAACCTGTGAAGATCCGGGGTAGAATAGTTCTTCGGGAACCCATGCTTGCCGTAAAAGGTGACTATGCTTGTCGTAAAAGGTGACTATGCTTGTCGTAAAAGGTGACTATGCTTGCCGTAAAAGGTGACTATGCTTGTCGTAAAAGGCGGCTAACGGGATCGGGTGGTCAGGCGGCTCGCTGACTTTGTTGATGCATGTCATCGATTCCAGTTGCGTGGGTCGATGCTCATAATATTAATCACTGGATTGTCTGGTCCAGACTCGATTATTTACAGACCGCCGTCATATAGCTGGAATATTGCTGAAGGCGTTCAACAACAAACCAACCAACAACCAACCAAACTGGGATGTGTGACAAAATGTAAGTTTGTTCCAAGTATCTTTCATTGAAGTTGCACGCGTTTCTCAGTCGTTCAAGACACCACAATTCGCTTTGTTCCATTATCGTGGGTTCGAATTCCCAATTCGCTCTTAATATTACTATTAATTATTATTATCTCGGGTTTCAACGTACGTTTACAGACCGCCGTCATATAGCTGGAATATTCTTTTTCAGGAATCATAGGCATCCATACATTCGAGGATTGAATTTATTAGATCCACTCATATAGATAGGTTTTAGTCTTTAACACTGCATAGAATGCTGTATGTCTATCAATTATACAACATACTTCTCCGTCCATTCTCTGACTCGTCATTTGTTACACCGTGTCTTCGCTGGATTGTATATATATAGTAAAATATAGTAATAATTAAGTAAGTGGAGTAAGATTAAACAAAGTTTTAATAGGCTAGCGCTTTCAACTCGTACCACGTACGAGTCTCATCAGGCCATAACTGAATAACGGACATGAAGTAGTAACATATAGCCTATTAAAACTGTGTTCAATCTTACCCCACTTATTTAATTATTACTATATTGTGCCTGAGAGTTAGAACTTTACTGTGCTTTTTTATATATATATCGGGTGGTCAGGCTCGCTGACTTGGTTGATGCATGTCATCGTACGTATCCCAGCTGCGTAGGTCGATGCTCATGATGTCAATCACTGGTCTAGACTCGATTATTTACAGACCGCCGTCATATAGCTGGAAACAACAAACACACAACAACTTACGTAAAACTATTGATATTGGAACATGTGTTTATCATGTTTATATATACTGAATTTCATTGTATGATACACATACTATACCAATGAACATCCCGGAACATCCCGGTCAGTGTCTTTAAGTAGGTCTCCGAAACAGGGCCCCGTTCCCGAGAGCTAAAGTAGCATAACTCCAATACTTTAACAGAGTGAGTGAGTGAGTGAGTGAGTGAGAGCGTATGGGTGGATGAGTGGATGAGTGAGTGAGTGAGTAAGTTGTTTTTACGTAGCTGTAAGTAATTTTCAAGTCATATTGCGCCGGGGACATCAGAAATGGGCTTCACACATTGTACCCATGTAGGGAATCGAACCCGGGCCTGCGTTAATGGATGAGTTCACCTTTAAATGAATGATTGAGTGAATGTTAATGAATGAATGAGGGAGTGAGAGTGAGTGTGTCAATCACTGACGAGTGAGTGAGTGAGTGAGTGAGTGAGTGAGTGGTTTTTACGTAGCTGTAAGTAATTTTCAAGTAATATTGCGCCGGGAACACCAGAAAAAGGCTTCACACACTGTACCCATGTGGGGAATCGAACCCGGGCCTGCGGTGTGACCAGCGAACGCTTTAACCACTCGACTATCCCACCGCCCTTCTTTAACATAGACTTATGACAATCGTAGCGCTACGATGGCTTTGAGGAACGGAGCTCTGCTCCAACTCCAGGGTGTGATTTTCCTTGTGCAGTTAAATTCCTTGACGTGGTCTACAGATTGAGCGACATGAATACCACTGGAAGCACTCGTAAAATAAACGGGCTGTCTTGTGACTACTTTCCCTTCAGACGCACGTTCCGTGTTAGTTTTAATCCTCCGTCTTTTGGACTCCCGTCACTGATTATTATCCCTGAGATGAGTCTCGCGGGGGAGGTTCGCTTTCCGAAATAAAACTTGACCTGTCCGGCCTCGACACTCAGTCGCTGACCTTCACCTGTGTGGAGTGGAAGGTCACCTGATTTCAAGGTCACCAGAATGTGATATGTTTCTCCGCCATCGAGGAACACGGGTCTTCCTAAATTTGCGCTTGCTATACCGTTTGCGTCCGAAAGCGAACTGGCCAATATGTCAGTTTCTAAAGTGAGTCTTCTATAGTTTCCATGACAACTGACATTCTTGTATACTTTTATGTGATAGTTATGACAAAAAATGTGTTGTCGACCAGACCCGAATATGTTAAATCCATGAAACATCACTTTCTGACTGCACCGCACAAACATATCATCGGTTATCTCCCCTTTCGGTGATTCCCCGAACTTCTTCTGGTCACAACATACGGGCACGACAAATGTCTCGAAGTATGTCACACGTTCCAACAGTGCACGGTCTTCCCTGGTGTGTCGGGAGCTAAAAGGAGACACATCTTCGACGGGGCAAAGGAAATAACTGAGGATTTTCACATGCTCTTCGTTCGTCAGCAGTTTGCTGGGTACAACAGTCTTGACAAAGAACAAGGGATCCATATCGGGAAAAAGAATGTTGAAAAAACCTGAGCCGATGGCCTTTCTCTGGTTTTGGGGGGTCACGTCAAGTCCTTGTCGGACACACTCAGCCCCAGACCAACGGACAGCTGCGTTGAACATGGACTCCGGCTTGACCAGCCGACAGAGGGCGCTGACCACACTATGGAAGCAGCATTGGCAGAGGTCGTCAAGTCCCGGAGACTCGAGGACTGCCTCTCCATTCTTCGCCATCATCACCAACGTCGTCGCGTGGAGGTCCGTCTCGTCAAATCCGTGTGCTTGTTCCAGGACGTCACAGGCGCTGTCCGGAGTCAGGGAACTCTCCAGGAAGTCCAGGGATAAACGCTCCAGACCGCCCACAGCGTATTTCTTGGCCAGGTATAACATTGTTGTCGCATTTTCAGGTGTGAGGTCGGGGATATCCGTGTACAGGTATCTGTAATATCAGGAAGGATACGGTGATGTTATTACTGCTGCGTCTTCTTCTACTACCACTACTACTACTGCTGCTGCTGCAGTTACTACTACTACTGCAGCTGCTGCTACTATAATTGCTACTACCACAATAATTAGCAATTGCTACTACCACCACAACTACATATTACTACTACTACTACTACCGCTGCTACTTCTACTGCTGATGCAGCTACTACTGCTACTACTACTGCTACTACTACTGCTACTACTACTACTACAACTACTGCTGCTTCTGCTATTGCTACAACTGTTGCTGCTGCTCTACTACTACTACTGCTGCTGCCGCCGCTGCCCTACTGCTACTTCTACTGCTGCTGCTACTATAACTTCTACTACCACCACAACAACTACTACTACTACTCCTACCACTGCTACTACTGCTGCTGCTACTACTACAATTGCTACTACAACCACAACAACTACTACTACTACCACCGCTACTACTACTACCACCACAACTACTACTACTACCACTGCTACTACTGCTGCTACTACAACTACAACTACTACTATTAGTAGTACTACTACTACTACTACTACCGGTGCTACTTCTACTGCTTCTGCTATTGCTACTACTACTACTACTACTACTACTACTGTTACAACCTTAACAGCTGCCTCCGAATCAACTACTACTACTACTACTACTACTACTACTATTACTACTACTGCTGCTACTACCACCATTGCCACCACTGCTACTACTACTGCTGCTACTACTACTACTCCCACTTTTTCTGTTAGTCTGTCTTTGTTATGACAAGTTACAGGTGGATCACTTTCCAAAGAAGTATTACGAATATCCGACCAAATACGAAATTAATATTATGTCCACAACTGAATAAACATCTAGCTAGCTATATCTATCAAGCGAATTAACTTCGTAGTACATCATTGTGAGAACAATAACATATATGCACATCACGTCCATTATAATGCGATGGCCAACACAGAAATAAACCGAATTGACAAATACTACTGCCACTTATAATAGGTATTATTTAGATGAAGGTTGTGTTTATCAAAGACTATATTATTGTGAGTGAAGGAGTTTGGTTCAACGCCGTTTTGATCAGTATTTCAATTAAACCAGTGCTCGGGTACTCCCCTTACAGAAAACATTATCTTGGCGAATCTGGGATTCGATCCCACGATCATGCTATGGGACGCAACTTTGCACTGATAGTACTCAAGGGATAGTCAGTGTTTGTGTACCTGGGGCAATGGGTGCAGTGTGGTTTAGCAGTCCCTGCGTTCGCCAAGTCACATCAAACTATCCGGTTCTATCCCAGCTTAGTACAAGTCCCGTCATTCCTACTCATTTGTGGCCCGTGAATATCCGGGGTAGAATAGGTCTTCAGCAACCCATGCTTGCCGTAAAAGGTGACTATGCTTGTCGTAAGAGGCGACTAACGGGATCGGGTGGTCAGGCTCGCTGACTTGGTTGATGCATGTCATCGCATCCCAATTACGTGGATTGATGCTCATGATGTCAATCACTGGATTGTCTGGTCCAGACTCGATAATTTACAGACCGCCGTCATATAGCTGGAATACTGCTTAGTATGGCGTTAAACAACAAACAAACAAACTCAGTTGCTGTGGTCTTATTGTTGAAAGCGACATAAAATCCCCCAGTCACCCTAACACAGCGCACTCACTCTTACCTGTGTCAGCAAAGACCCTTTATCTGCCTATATACATGGTAAGAGAGAGTGAGTGAGGATGGTTTTACGCCGCTTTTAGCAATATTCCAGCAATATCACGGCGGGGGACACCGGAAATGGGCTTCACACATTGTACCCATGTCGGGAATCGAACCCGGGTCGTCGGCGTGACGAGCGAACGCTTTAACCACTCGGCTACCCGACCGCCCATACGTGGTAAGAGAAGATATGAATACACCATAACACTTACTGGATCCAGTCCAGGACTTATGGTGGCACCAGGACTAATGGTGGCAACAGTGCAATTTCCGCAACGAAAACGAGCACGAACAGAAGGACTAGTGCCACAGCTCATGATCACCCATTTCTAGTTGTAATCACGTTGTAATTATTGTCATGTCATGTTAGTGTAAGTACGACCTCTAGCTTGGTGTATATCATCAGTTTTGTTTTGACGAACAAAGTGGGTTTTGTTGACTCGAAGCTAACAGTACTACCTCTGTCCCCGTGTAGTCGGCCATTAATTGATGGCCTCGTATAATCACTGCTTGTCGAGTCACCTCGGTATGTCTGCTCCGCCTGAACACCTCAGAGCCTGCATGTTATCAACTGGCACGTTAAAGAGGTTATTGTTCGGACTTCAGATCGTTACTGAAACGTAATTTCACGAGACTGACCTACATATTTACTGTGCGTAGATCAACTCGTCCACTGCGGACAAAGATGCGATTGTGGATGACGCGTTTTGAGCCCTTGTTGATGAATATTTTGACGGGCTAAAGAAAGTAAACACTTGATAACTGAGTGAGAGTGAGTGCTTAATGTTTCACGCCGCTTTTTGCAATATTCCAGCAATATCACGGCGGGGGACACCAGAAATGGGCTTCACACATTGTACCCATGTCGGGAATCGAACCCAGGTCTTCGGCGTGACGAGTGAACGCTTTAACCACTAGGCTACCCGACCGCACTTGATAATTGGATTTGACAAATACAAACGTTGTCAAAAATTAGCTGTCTGAATACAGTCGCAGAAAAAACTGCAAACTCCAGTTAAAAACCCCAACAACTACGATATCCGTATCAAATACATCACCGTCGAATTTCTTTTTCCATTTTTAGCCACCACAAACATGTGCGTGTACTTGTTTTTTATTATTTATTTTTTTGAATTTGTTGGGTAGCTTAGACATTTGGTAATCGCTAACATGGCTGTGTGGGTATCCTGTAAGAATGAATAACTTTGATTTGTTTTACCTCAAGAAGGCCTCGAAATCTTCACTGCCTACGTCGGGAATACTAATGTCGTCTTTCTCCGCTAGGGGGCCACAAAACATGGCGTTGAAGACGCAGCTTCTGCTGATGAGCACGTAGCGGTGAGCTGTCACAACCTTTTCCTCCTTGCCCACCCGGAACACGACGTCACAACTTTCTGCAGACGTCAACATGTGCATGTTGCATTGAGCGAGGGTGTTGCACGTTTTCCATTTGCTCAAGTAACAGGAAGCCATGATATCATTTGCACGTGGCTTCTGAAAAACACATACTTTAGATTACTTAACCAATTATGTGAGGTGAGGTGAGGTGAGGTGAGGTGAGGTGAGGTAAGGTGAGGTGAAATCAGGTGAGGTGAAATTGCGTTTATCGTCGCGTCCAAGATGATTGCACTTATAATGTATGTGTGTGACTGCTTGTACTAGTGGACTGATGCCGTTTTATAGTGCTAGCCCACTGAGATACCATGCCGCAGTTTAATATGAACACTCCACTCAGACACAGAATACTGACTCCGAGCCGACCAGTCCTTGTTTAAGCCCCTTAATGCAGAGCGCCAGACAGGGTAACAACAAGTTTTTTGGTATGACGCGGCCGGGGATCGAACCCCGGACCTTCCGCTCTCCGGGCGGACGCTCTACCACTAGACCACTTAACCAATTAGGGGCAGTGTGGTAGCCTTGTGGTTAAAGCGATCGCTAGTCACACATGAACCGGGTCCCAATCCCCATATTGGTGTACTGGGTTTGTCCTATTTTTGGTGGACCGCTCCATGATGTCGCTGGAATATGGTCAAAGCTATGGACAACCATACCCACGCAACCAGTCTGCTCCAGTTACGAGTACTACGGGATTCCTGGTATCATTATATAACAGTAAAAGTGAGTGAGTATGGCTTTACGCCGCGTTTAGCAATATGCCAGCAATATCACAGAACACCAGAAATGGGCTTCACGAATTGTACCGTTGTGGGGAATTGAACCCGCGTCTTTGGCGTGACGAGCGAACGCTTTAATCACTAGACTACCCGACCGCCCCCATAGTCGTAAGAGCCCAATACAATGAGAATCGGGTGGTTTGTTTGTTTATTTGTTGTTTAAGACCGAACTCAACAATATTCCAGCTATATGACGGAGGTCTGTAAATAATCGAGTCTGGATCAGACAATCCAGTGATTGCCATAATGAGCATCGATCCACACAATTGGGATACGATGACATTCATCAACCAAGTTAGCGAGCCTGACCCGATCCCGTTAGTCACCTCTAACGACAAGCACAGTCGCCTTTTACGACAAAAACATGGGTTGCTGAAGACGTGGATCTCCACGTGGTAATACTCGAATACGTGTCAACGTGCTCCGACGACATGGAACATTCTTCTTGATATGAACCATTGGTCTACCTGGCCAAGATTATGTACAGACGGCCATCATAGTAAAATTGGTAGTTCGCTGATAATATTCTTTGTCCGAATGAGTACTGATTGAACTGACCCGTGAAGATCCGGGGTAGAATAGGTCGTCAGCAACCCATGGTTGCCGTAAAAGGCGAATATGGCGTTAAACAAACACAAAACAAACAAACACACAAACACACCGATTCAACCTACCTGGCTACACGTTGTGTTTGTTTATACACCTACGAAGCCGTAGGTCTCAAATACATACACGTATTGTTTTACCTACCGGGTTAATCAATAAAGCTTTGCCAACAGAGCAACATCAGTATCGTACGGTATACCTACCCCTTGAAGACACACGCCCGTCAGGTCACTACAGAGCTATGAGGAAAACACAACGCGTAAACAGTTCATATATTGTACATGAAGAAAATGGACGTTTATTTAAGGCGAGTAGCAATATGCTATTTTTAGAACTATTCACCTGGAGCTGTACTGTTTGCGAGACACAGTGACTTGGCTATTTATAGGATCATAACAGTCATGTTTTCATAGTTACATCGCCGCTGAAGACGACTACAGATCCACAATATATATTTATTATCATATAATAACGTTTGCTATCAGGATACTTATTTATTTATTTTAACTTTTTTTGTGTTTCGATACTGTAATATTGAGAAGTATTTACGTTTCTTTAGCTGGCACGACGTAAATAATATTAATTATTATAACTTCAAACTCTGCTGGTCTTACAACATGTGTTAAGGCAACCATGCAGGAGGAGATAATTGATTGACAAGGTTATAAAGATGACGCTAGGGGGCCATTTGGGTGTTCCGATCGTGACTGCGTGTTACGTCATCAGATCAAAAATAAACCTCTCAAAGACGGAAAGTCAACAGCTTAAGTCATTGTGCAAGATACAACTCTTCACTCATTTTTATCGCTGACAAGACGTGCATGGATAGAAAGTATAATATATGGCCACGTATTAGATATTAAATAATGATAAAAATATATCATACTATAATGAACGATGAGGGCCCGTGTTCTGTTGAGAGTTAACACCTACGCCCATTTAAGTGTAAATTGTTATTTGCTATAAAACGAATGCATTACTAATTGAATTTAAATTAATACTAATTAAACGAATAAACTCTATCAAAAACACCTGTAATGCCATATTCTGTTGTCTTTATTCTAATATCTTTTGTGTAAAATGAGTAGTGTGGTGGAGTGAATGAATATTGTTTTCAAGCAGTTAGCAATAGTCCAGTTATATTACAGTCTTTTATAAATTATCGAGTCTGGGCCATACGAACCAATGACTGAAAGCATGAGTAATGAGGCGAGGTGAGGTGAGGTGAGGTGAGGTAAGGTGAAACGGGGTTTAAAATTAAATAGCGACGCCCATGCACGCTCGTGTGTGTGTGTGCGTGCGTGCGTGCGTGCGTGCGTGCGTGTGTGTGTGTGTGTGCGTGTTTTGTATTGCTAGCTAGCGGAGATACCATGCCACGCCATGCCGCAGTTTAAACATAGAAAACCCACTCAGACACAGTATACTGACCGAAATATCCACCCAAAAATGTTCGTAACTTCATTTTCGCATTTATCTCTACCTGAAACCAACGAAAGTTCCCTGTGGTTCATCCTCGATTATCCAGGGTATTATATATCCATACCAATAATAACTACCCCGGATCCACCAACGCATAACCTCGTTTCGGTGATGTCACATCTCCGTCTCGCCTGTTATAACTACTTGCAGAATTGCTCTCACTCGTGAGTGTGATTTGATTTAATTGTTTGTTTGTTTGTTTGTTTAACGCCACACTCAGCAATATTCAAGCTATATGACGGCGGTCTGTAAATAATCGAGTATGGATCAGACAATCCAGTGATTGACATCATGAGCATCGATCCACGCAATTGGGATACGATGACATTCATCAACCATGTCAGCGAGCCTGACCACCCACCCGGTTAGACGCATCTTACGACAAGCACAGTCGTCTTTTACGGCAAGCATGGGTTGCCGAAGATCTATTCTACCCCGGATCTTCACGGGTCGATTTGATTTGACTGCTTTTTTAAATAGCAGATTTAATTCGACTGCTATTGTATTCTTAATTGGGCTAAACAAGAAGTTAAGATGGCGAATGGGACCAGAGTATTTATCATAACAGCATGACGTTATAATTGCCTGGATAATCGATGACTCCAGTCATTCGGCTCACACTGTTTCTCAGGATTTGACATGTACAGTGAAACCTCGTTACTCGGACCTCGTTAAACCAGAAACCCCGCATTCCAGACAGCAACTATTCTGAACGCCAATAAATAATTCATGACTCGTATATCCGGACATTGATTTCACAATGAACGGCTCATTGTACCCTTCACAGAATATGAAGTGTGGTACGCACATTGGGATACGTGGGGGAAGCCCCGCCAGTCTCCACTTGATCTTGGTGTTGCTCAACCCGCTCAAACGTTAAGCCGACCCCACTGTATGGTGACCGTCGACAGACAGGTGCGACAGGCTTCCCCCTAGCGTTCCCGGTTAACATGTTGAGTCATTGACTTTCCTTGTTGAAGGCAGATATGAACATATCTATTGTTGCGTGTGGTGACGTGTTTCTTTGTTCACTGGTATGCAGCGTCATTGCAATCTGGTTTCCTTGTACAGGCGAGGAGGTTATCGACACACGTGGAAAGAAATATAAGGGGTCGACTGTAATACAGCCGGAGTTGGGACGGCAGGTTACGTATGTAGATAAGATACCCGGAGATTGTTTGAAATAATAATAATAATAATAATAATAATAATAATAATAATAAGATTAATATATATATATATATATATATATATATATATATATATATATATATATATATATATATATAACACGCTCCTAACAACAAACTACTACTACTACTACTACTACTACTACTACTACTGCTACTACTTCTACTACTACTAGGGACGATGGGGTAGCCTAGTGGTTGCAATGTCAGGTGGTTCGATTCCGCACATGGGTACAATGTGTGAAGCCCATTTCTGGTGATATTGCTGGAATATTGCTTAAAGCAAACCAATACTCACTCACTCACTACTACCGAGCGCTTATAACGCTGCCTAATCCGTATCCTAAAATAGGCCCAGAGCGCTAAACCTACAACATGTAGGCTCCTTAGATGCCCGCAGACAACCGGGCATAACCCCCACGAGAACAAACAACTACAATGTATATAACTTAATGTCACGTACTGATATTCATTCATACAGACCCATACTTACATTGTCAAAGTACATTCTCCAAACTTAATGAGGCGGAAATAAATTCCGGTACATTTCCGTGACTAAAATAAAAGTTCGTTATATCGGTCAGTTCGCTATAAGCGTGTTCGTTATAAACGTGAGTGTTAAAAGACTCAGAGATCAACAGCATATGGAGTGAGCACTAATGTTATTGTCAACTCGAAATAGAATCGAACTTTGAATGCTTACATCCGCTGAACAATCAGAATATTGTCTACCACACGTTGGGTGGGAACTATGGACCTGGACAGTTCATTCGTGACCAACTCGTGACGAATGGGCGAGTGGTGACGAATGCTGGACAGTTGTTTCTAGCTTGTGACCGCACGTGCTTATGTCCATGGATATGTTCAAATGGGATTGAATGGGCATGTGAAGGAGTGAGTGGTGTTTTAGGATGCTTTTAGCCGTGTTCAAGCAATATCACGTCCAGAAATTGCCTCCCAAATTTTACCCATGTGTGGAATCAAACCCGATCCTTCGGTGTGACGAGCGAACCACTAGGCCACCCCGGGCCAAGACCAATCGCCAAAAACTACTCCGGTTGTGAATAATTCAACAACTTCATTCAGTAAACATTCAACTTAAAACCCCGCTACGCAGTGTTTAGGGGCTCCATCAAAGGTTTTCCTATTATATGTAAAAGAAATATAGTCTACTAAGTAACAGCCGTCATATAGCTGGAATATTTTTAAGTGCGGCGTTAAACAACAAACCAACCAACCAAACAAGTAACGGTCGTTCTCAAACGCCCAAAGGAGCTAAGGTAGCTGCGGACAAAGGGAGGTTATTTCACAGTAATTTCAAACTGTCGTAAAACAACAGTTATCTCCCCTGAATGTATTCCGACCTCAGTGCCTTGCCGCTTATTTCGAATCGATATCCGCGGAATCTTTCTCACGTTGTGTTGTCGTTTGAATGTCGAAAATAATGTATTGCACATTCAGTGATAATATTTGTCTGTCGCATTTCTACCATTAGGTAGGTCTTGTTCATGATTTGATACTTTATTAGACGTTATTTGTTATTCTTTTGGAAGTACTGTTACTTGTTTGTTTAGATTTCTGCTGGTAAGTGCAAGCGTATTGCTGACACCTGAGTGAAACAAGATTTGTTTCGTTCCTCTGTAAGTTCTTCGGAAGTAGTATACAGCATTATCGACAAAGGAGTGCGAATGTCGGTGGTTTGATACCCCCCGCGTCATACCAAAGGAAGTTAAAAGATGGTATTTGTACTTATTGTTACCCCGCCTGGTGCTCGGCATTGAGGGGCTAAAGCAAGGGGTCGGTTGGAGTTGGGTATCCATGTTACAACTGCAGCAGGGGCGGTCGGGTAGCCAAGTGGATAAAGCGTTCGCTCGTCACGCGGAAGACCCGGGTTCAGCTCCCGACATGGGTACAATGTGTGAAGCCCATTTCCGGTGTCCCCCGCCGTGATATTGCTTGAATATTGCTAAAAGCGGCGTAAAACCATACTCACTCACTCACTCACTCACTTATAACTGCAACATGGTTTAAGTATGAAACCACTAGTCCGGACTAGTAAAAGCAGGCAAGCAGTCACACGCTAGCACGCACGCACAAGCACGCACAAGCACGCACCGGACTAGTACTAGCAGACAAGCAGTCACGCACGCGACCCGTGAAGATCCCGGATAGAATAGGTCTTCAGCAACCCATACTTGCCGTAAGAGGCGACTATGCTTGTCGTAACAGGCCACAAACGGGATCGGTCGGTGAGGCTCGCTGATTTGGTTGATACATGCCATCGATCCCAATTGCGTGGATCGATGCGCATGATGTCAATCAAGGGATTGACTGTTCCATACTCGACTATTTACAGACCCCCGTCATATAGGTGGAATATTGTTGAGTGCGGCTTTAAACAACAAACAAACAAGCACACACACGCACGCACGCACGCACGCACGCACGCATTTATTATGAATCAGTAAGATAGTGATGACACCAGGTGTTCGCGAGGCGTGCGGATCTTGCCTCACCGGTGTCATCCGTTGCAAACACATGCAACGGCAAGTCAATTGTTCACCTGAAAAAACACCGGAACATGTGGTACAAATTGATATAAGGAAATGTCATCATGTTTGTTACTGATTTGGAAATGTCCTCCACATGTCTACCATAATGCCTTTTCAAAGCGTCACTGTGGCCTTTGAATGTAGAAATCAACCAACTTTTGTTGAATGACGTTCTTTGAATTCTCCATCACCGATTGCACTGAACCTTACCATTTTCCTATAGAAGTACCGCCTTTCTTCTAATAAAGATAGGATGTAGGGGCCGGGTTAACAACAGGTACAGCCTCCATGGTCTAGTGGTAGAGCGTCCGCCCGGAGAGCGGAAGGTCCGGGGTTCGATCCCCGACCGCGTCACACCAAATGACGTTCAAAGATGGTACTTGTTGTTACCCTGACTGGCGATCGGCATTAAGGGGCTTAAACAAGAACTGGTCGGCTCGGAGTCAGTATACTGTGACTGAGTGGGGAATACATGTTCAACTGCGGCATGGTATCTCGGTGAGCTAGCACTATAAATCGGCATCAGTCCGGACTAGTACAAACAAACACACACACGTACATGCACGTCGCTATATGTGTGCAATAATCTTGGACGCGACGTTAAACCCCATGACCTCGGCCACCGCTGGCAGGAACTCGTATTGAAATTATTTTCGTGCACGTTACTACCACACAATCTGCGGCAATCATGCATCTTATACAACTTTATAAATTATTTATGTTTTCTTCAAATCAAAGTGTAAACAAAGACGGCCCTTGTCATTTTCGGCATAAGGGAATAGGTGGAAGCACCAAGGATCATTATCGGGCGGATCGGGGATTCGAATTTGAACCAACGATCAGCGGATCCTGGTGTGGTAACGGGGCAAAACTCTTCTGACGAATACAACATACCGAGTTATACAGCAGTAGTATCGTGACTGACGGAGACATTCAATCTCCACACAAACCCAAAAGGATTAAATAATGTCATGTACAATTATTTATTCAAGTAGCTAACAGCATACATACCGTCTGTAGCTAAACTCGTCTTAGTCATAGACCTAGAAGGCAATCAGCATCAACTACACAGCTGACGTCATGAACAATGCCCATAAACTTTTTGTTTTACGGCCATAATCTCTATTTTTAGAACTCTTCACCCGAACGAAGAGGCGCAGAAATGTGAATGGAACACACTGTTACATCTCGTCTAAAATCAATAGTCAATAATGACAACAACGATGACTGCAGTTCAAAACATGGTATCTTTACTAAATCCTCAGTCACAACTAACCTTTCAGCCTAACTGGCATTACCAGGACAAAATTAAAACACAATGTACATGCCACCACAATCAAGAAGAACATACAACATACCGTAACTAAGGATACATGATAATACATTCTTCACTCTGATGGGGAAAAAGGGGGATAACTCGTATAGCCCTTCTTGCATACCACTAATAATATAGCAACCTATTAATATCAAAGAGCGAGTTAGAGTTCGGTTTATTTAGAATTGAGCGTTTGTTTTTTTTGTTTAAAAAGGGTGATAGAAATAATGTGCATTTGTCGCTGTCTCTAGCCGTCGATGTGGCTGAGCGTATATTGTGTAGCGTTGTATAGTCTCCGAGATGATACTCATTTATCCAATATTTTATTGGGTTAAATTGGTTTTAACGCCGCAGACATAAATATTATGCTTGAGTGGATTAGTAACCATTAGACTGCGTGTCGCAAAAATACATTCGTGACCAACTCGTGTTAATCCGGGACAAGCCGAATAGCGACTCGTGCTAATCTCATGGCCATTTTTGCGACCGGACATCTGGACATGCGGAATTATACAGTATTATTGAACACATTTAACTGTGTCTTGGGTATATTTTTAGATGCAAGACATATGTAAAATCAAAAGTTATTTCCGATGGATTCTTTGACGAACAACTTGAAATCATACGCGCATTCAGATGGGTTTGTCGTATTTTCGCACATAACATTCATCGATAGGGGGACGAGTCTGGTGAATGGCAAAAATAGTCGCTCTGGCCTACCGAGTACGGGTGTGCGTGTTGCGACAATTGTCGTGCAGGGCACTTGAAAATTGCATGCCCTCATTCGGCAGAGGCGTCAGTAACCATTGTTTTTGAAGTCAGAACTTATGACATATTCCGATTAACATTCTTTACAATGATACCACATTATCTGTATTTTTTACCGAGATTGAGTAGATTGATAATTACCGTTACTTACGAAAGTATGGCTGATTGAAGATGGCCAGGGTGTTGGCATCAGTGCAACATGCAGAGGTCAGGTTTAAAGAGAGAATTTGTCATTAAAATTTAACCGTATATTTTGTGCGGGAGTTCTCATTCAAAGAATTGGCTTCGGCCCAACTGGAAAACAACACATACTTACATTATCAAGTCAAGTAAACATCGCTGCAAAGTTGTTTGGACAGGAATATAAAGTACATTGGTTCCTTCAGATTCGATCATTGGAGTTCATAAATCAATAACAGCGTACTCCCCGAAAAACTACGAGGACAACTTGCCGATCATGTCGCGATCTTCAGAGTTCGAGTGGTTGCAAACGTAGACAAACTGTTGGGTCTCGGAATTTTGAAGACGTTCAAGAAAACCCATTGATGCCTACATCGAAATATGAACCTCAGATCAAATCAGTTAATATACCGGTGAACATGTTTTATTGCAATTAAAAACTTTTTTTTAGGAAAAATGAAAATAACTTGGTCGAGATCGGTACCCCATGGAACTTAAATATGCGAACATTCAACGGGGTTCCCGACACTGCGAACATCTCATTCCACTGCGAATAATTAGAAATGTGTTGTTTTTTGTTTATTTGTTGTTGTTTTGTTTGTTGTTTAACGCCGCACTCAGCAATATTCCAGCTATATGACGGCGGTCTGTAAATAAGCAAGTCTGGACAAGACAATCCCGTGATTGACACCATGCGCATCGATCCACGCAATTAGGATACGATGGCATGTATCAACCAAGTCAGCAAGCCTGACCACCCGATCCCGTTCGTCGCCTCTTATAACAAGCATAGTCGCCTTTTACGGCAAGCATGGGTTGCTGGCGACCTATTCTACCCCGGATCTTCACGGGTCGCGTGCATGAGTGGGTGAGTGACGAATACAACATACCGAGTTATACAACAGTGGTATCTCGACTGATGGAGACATTCAATCTCCACATCAACCCAAAAGAGTTAAATAATGTCATGTACAATTATTTATGTTAGTTGCATACAGCCACCCGATCCAGGAAATATTACCTACTACTAGCACAGAGTTGTTAGCAACTATGACCTGCTACTAGTAGGTACAAAGACGGTCTCTACGTCTCTGGAGACTAACATTTACTGCTACTACTAGCTAACGGCAAAGGAGCATGTCTAAAATGATTTTCATTGGTCAACGAGTCTACGTCGACGGTATGCAAGCCAGGCTCTGTCTCAACAGAAAAATAAATAGATTACCGCAGAGCAACTTCAGCCTGTAACCAGCTAGCTTTCTAGATGTAGAAGTAGCTTCGTAATGGTGAAATGCGCCATGCAAACCTTTCAACCACCATTCCAGTATGTTCCCAGTCACCTGGAATTACAAATAGAATCTATATTATCATGAAGAAAATTATACGGTAACCATTGATAATTACATCACCAGCTGGTCACATGACCTCGTCATGCATCATCCTCCGCCGCCATTTTGTGTAAGGTCACGTCATTTGTTCCACTCAACCTAGGCCAAGTTTAGGCTAGTTAATTGTGTCTTTTCTCTAAATAGAGCACAACAAACGTGGGTGTTTTCATAACAATAAATACTCTTCAATATTCCTACCATTGCCACAAATGGGAACGTAATGTCGTTCTACAGTGTTTTCTACAGGGAGCCTTGCATTCTTTGCGTCCCTAGAAACAACGTCGACGTGCACAAGCAAGGTCACGCATCATAAATGCCGTTTATTCTAAAAAAGAGTGCTTTACCGAAACAGTATGTCCTACAGTACTACCTATCGTACATTGTATTCGAGTTGTTGCTTGGTATAAAGCGCCCATGTTTTGACGCGAATCACTTGCATCCAAAGACGATTGGGTCACGTTCCTTTTCAGAATCGCTCGTTTCTTTTAGTCCAACTGGTAGTAATTACTAGTAATTAGTACTTACATATATATACTATTATATGTCGTATTTTGTTTACATTTCAGCAGTATGCATTGGAGGCAGAAAATTTATTCAAGCTCTGAAGTCCCAAACAACTGAAAATGCTCCAAAACACCATCACGTGACCCTGGTATTCTCAAAGGGCTGGTGAAAGTGTTTGTTTTGTAGGCCTAAATGTTTGTTGATAGTAGAGAGGCTGATTGATAGACTTTATAACAAGTCATGATCAACATTCCCCAACTGTTAGTTAATTACACTGGTCAGTCTACATCTGTATTGTTTCTTTGCAACCTCTGTCAACAAACTCAAATTTATCCATTTAAATACCTGAATAATTGTGTTGTCATATTTTAAGATTATGACTAGGCCTACAGCATCTAACTAACTGTAATCCTCTGATAACTAAATTTCTGAAGGCAAAATACCATTTTATTGATGAATATATCTCCATTTAACTCATACAATTTAGTGTAGGGTGTAATGTTTGAATGTTTTTGTTGACAGTAGCAGACACTACATCTGCCTATGAGCAATGGACAGAACTGAGAATACCATATCATGAACCATAGTGAACACTGCTGGCAACATCCTGTTTTAGTAAGTATAATTGAATCCCCAATTATAATGTCCTTGTACATAAAAAAAATGACATAGTGTTGTTTTTAAATAGTGATCTGTTTGGCAGTGTTTTATATTTTGTATATTTTTCTTTTCACTTCTACTGGCCTGCATTTGTCCTTGTCATTTTCCTGTTATTTCTGATACATTCCAAAATAAGATTTGTCTGTACAGTACCAGCACACTTTAATAAGGACTAAGAGCAAATGTGCCTATTTCTCAGTGTTTTAGACAATTTGTGTTGTACCCAAATAGAGGGAATATTGTTACTGTAGTTCTTGTCATTGTCTTGGCAGCAAGTGCGACATGATCATGGGCACTACTTCAGCATGTTTAGTTATACACATTGACCAGTGAAGATCAGGGTCAGAATAGGTCTTCAGCAAACCATGCTTGCTTTAAGAGGCGACTATCCTTGTCATAAGAGGCGACTAACGTGATTGAGGGGTCAGGCTCAGAGACCATGTTGATGTATGTCATCGTATCCCTTTTGCATGGATTGATGCTCATGATGTCAATTACTGGATTGTCAGGTCCAGATTTGATTATTTACAGGCAGCTGTCAAAGGACGAATATTGCTTAGTACAGCATTAAACAACAAACAAACAAAGTTATACAGTTCAATTTTTTAAATAATCTTATACTCTAGTATTATAATGTGCTATTTTTATTGATTATTATGAATACAGACTGTTTGTATCAGTTTGTAAGAGACACAAACCAAGGTTCCCACAACTATCTGCACATGCTTTGTCGTAACACAATTAATATGGTATCTTCAGGTTATGTATGTTTGTAAAATGTGCTAGAAAGTGTCCACTTTAGTTGTAAAATCAGTATCTTCCTCACAACAGAGCTAATGTGCACTACCTTGTTGTGGTATTTTTTGTTGAACTCGTCTCTGTCTTTCTCAAGTTATGTTTGTGCAAGGTGCCTACCTGGTGTATTGATAATATTACCTGACAAGAGTCAAGTTTGCTCATCATATTCTGAAATAAGTGTCTCCAATCTAATAGAAATGGGAAAAGTAATACAAGCGAGTCACCATCATTTTAACCGGTGCTAGGGATGTCAGCATAAAGTATATGGTTTTTTATTAATATTATAAATATTAAAACTCTTTGCACCTTGAAAATTGAACATTATAAGAAAACTGCTATGTTTCTTTTCAGCTGACAGGCTGTTTGTGGAAGATGTAAGGTCAAGTGCTAGGGCCCCCTGTTTAGTTTAGACCTACATTGTAAATGTTGTGCACTGGACCATGGAGCCTGGTCACTACAGGGTTTACCCAAGCCTCTTAAAACTGGGGACAAATTCAATTTCTAATCTTAAAAATATCATCTTGATTCTCTAATCATACTGTTAAAATTATGTTTTACGTACTTATCTAATCTCTGTGGAATTCCTAATCCAATTAAATAGTAATGTCCAATATTTTTTAATATATTTGCAGATAACAAATTGCTATAGACTAATAAGGCAACTGCTATATTATATTCTGACTCTTTACTGGACTCACCAGACCCTGCACTGTATACTACTGAACACAATGAAGGATCAACATCTTTTCATTTCGGAATTCAAGTAGCAAGCGGTAGCCTGTTGTCTGGTACTTTAAAGTATACTATAATGCATGTACTAATTCTTTATACTGTAAACACATAACATGTTTTGCTTGAGCAATCCTTCTTGAAAAGCCCCCAAGTTTGAAACGCAAGTCTAGTAATATTGTGCTCGATGTAGTAAGTCCAATTAATAATAGTCAAAATGACAACACTAAAATCCTGTTCGGGCTAGTTGACCCATCATTTCGGGGCACAGACTGCTCATGTAATTCAATATATGGTGACAATGTTGCACGAGGTTCTGTTGTGTGTATTTCAATAATTTGCACATTTATGAACTTTAACCTTAATGTAATCCTTGAATCCAGTGATGCTTTATTTTTACATTTCTTTAATAACCTACAATTGTTATGAAGCTGTCATTTTTTGTGTGGTTCCAGGAATAAAGTCACCAGAAATGTATTCAAAAATTTTATCTGAGTTTGAGCATGACCAACATGGTACATATGTTTAAAATGTTGTTTTCTTCCACTTCTCAGACATGTAAGTTATTGTACAGTAAGTCATCTGTAGTGTAAAAACATGTTGATTCTTTTGTTTGCATATTTAGCTATTCCAGAACTGTTAGATGATATTAAATTGCTGTAGAAGGTATTTATTTCCATCTATAATGTCATTATGGTATACCAGTGTGTATGACAATTGTTTTGAAATTCATCAATATCTTCAAATATGATCTAGTGTATCCAGTGAATGACATGTAAGAAAGAAGGAAGCTAGGCAGCACCCAATCAGAGAGCGTACCATTAGACACATGTGATCAAAGGGGTTCCAGTTCAACACATTGCCCTTACGTATGATGGTCACTGTCAAACGTTTTTCATGGATCTGTGTTTGAAAACCAACTCATCCTGATAATAGGTTTCTGATTATATTGCCTATTCACTTACACAAGATACACAATTTTGAGTAATAAACAGTTGAATGTAGAAATCTGTTAATGTTGACAGGAAGAGAACAATCATTACCTTAGGGTTATGTTAAATATCATTAACATGATTATGGCTTTAATGACTTATTGATAAATAAGAAATATACGCAGCAAATTCTGTCATTGTCATTGTAGTATTTGTCTATACTATTACTTAAACACTACATTAATAGCCATAATCACATTCAATTACAGGGATCGATTTCTCTACATACAAGCCCCACCAGTGCAGGTAAAAACATTGCTGGGTCCACTTGCACAGAACAATCTTAGCACTTCAATTATTGTAAATCCTTAAGATCACGATCTTAGGCTTCGGCTACAATCGCTGTCCAATTGATCAAAGGGATTGTAGGCTATGATCATTGTAAGCTACAAGCGAAATTTACAATTGGTCCAAACAAATCTTAAGTAGCTAAGATCGTTGTGGTCCCTGAATAAACTTGACAAAATGGCGTGCAGGACCTCATCTAATTCACATAAATATTCTGCCTTATGTTCAAATATTGCCTCGTTATTTTGTTAACTTTATGATTCAAATCAACACTTTAATTTAAGATTTAAAGTCAGAAATATTGTTAATTGCAATAGTGAACCACTTAACTATCGAATCGATAGCTAAAAGTAAAAGTACTATACCCACCGGACTCAATGCTGAAAGAAGTGTGAAACAACATACCTTTTCACTAATCAAGGCAAAGATAAAAAGTTGTCTGCAAGCGATTAGTAACGTCCGTGACCTTTTCGATAACTCAAGGGCAGCTAATCATAGTTTATACTCTAGATGAGAGTGGTTTCCCTTTGTGTAAGCATGTAGCGTAGAATCTACCTTTCCCAGTGTATTAATGTTGTAGAATCGCTGAGCTCCCCCTGTTATTCTTTTCGGTCCCATTCGTGTCAGTTATTTTGTCTTTAGTTCATCATTAAATTAATCTACAAATAAATATTAGATGAATTCAGACATGTTTAAATATAAAATCGAGTTGGCAGGGGACGAGGGATTTTAAAATCTGAATTAAAAAGAAATGAAAAGTATTTATTAAACAAGCAAATACACATGATGAGACATTTGAAATTTGTGTAAAATATCCCATAAATAGCAAAAGTAAAATTTACACCTTTTAAAAATAATTATCAATATAATTAATACCAAGTGAATATATATTAAACAACTGCTTTCTCGAAACATTATTCATTATTATTATTTCCCATGCATTCTTGAAATCCTGCGTCTTTCTGTGTTTTGAAAAGGTACACATAACATCCTTTGTCACAGCAACGAAATGAAAGCATGAAGGATATATTTAGGATTTTCCGAAAAGCTCCCCCGTGTTATGTTATTAGGAAATATTTTTAGTATTATTTATTTTAATTTTCATAATGATTGTGTCACTAAATAATATATTTATTCGTATTTCAATACTTTTGATAAAAAAACATGAGTAGGTATTTCTCAAGTTACAACAGATAACAATTCCTAAATCATGACACTATTAATGCCGACAAAAATATATGCCATCATTCTAGTAATCGTTTCCTTCAAATAATTGGCACCTTTCTTGAAACTGTGCAAGGTGCCATGGAGGGAGGTACATGTTGTGTCGTGAACAGTTCCACTTATTGTATACGCAGCAAGCTATGCGCGTTTGGAGACAACTGTAGACAGGAGTCGAGTTTAAGATATTTGTACCTCCACCGTTGAAGATTTCAATCTTAGATGAGCCGTCTTACAATTACACTAAGATGGGTTTGTGCAAGTGGAATAGGACAATTGTATGGTGATTGTAAAATTGATTGTAGCCGCCTAAGATCGATTGTAACTAAGATTGTTCTGTGCAAGTAGGCCCAGGTGTCGGTAACTTTTAGGTGAGGTTAGGTTGCACGCAGTGCAGGTAACATTTCCAACCATAAGTGGAAAACTGAATGCTTTAGAACTGGCTGCAAGTCTTTTCGAATCCAGGAAACAAAAGTTCATGAAAGTAGTGAAATACACAGGTGGTCTGAATACATTGAACTTGCAGGACTCATTCTTCACATTTACCAATAGAACAGTCACTCATAAGGTTACAATCACAACAGACACTTTGAGACTTCTGTTTAAGGTTGTTTACTCGAAAAGGCATGTACAGATTCACCTCAAAATAAATTCTGGAGCACATTCTCAAGGGTTTTTTTCTTTGAATTTATTTAAAATTCAAAATAACAGAAGATTTTGGTGGTGCAACCTGCTTAGTTCACTTTGTTGCACCTGGTACAGGTGGTAAGACAGAATGAAATCGTACCCTGAATTATAGACCAAGGCCCCGATGACTGTATGACTATGGAGTAGCATTGATTATCATCGTCATATTTTTTATTTCAGTTGGAACACAACAGCATCCCTCCTGATCAAGTGAAAAGGAATCCTATGACACCACTTGATCTTTGTCTGACATGGAAATCTGCAAATCAAATAAGGTGGAAGAATAACATCTGGTTAAAAAAATTATGTGGAAAAGTAAGTTTTTCAACATTTTGGGTAAGATTAAACTTCCAAATTTCATCAGGGGTTTGAAAATTAAAGGATGATAAATTCCTCATGGCTTGTTATGTGTTATTTATCCACTGTTTCCTTTGTTTGGACTTTTATTTTTATAAAATATACATTAAATGTAAAACTAGGCAAAAAGTCACTAAAATCAGTCAAAATCAAGAAGGTCCAAAATCGCAAACATAACTGCATTGAGGTGGGTGTCTGAGTTGAAGCAAATATTGATCTGAACAATAATCTGTCAGCAGGTCAGAAATCACCCACGTAACTGCTGTTATCTGAACACAGTTCAGGTTTGAGATTCACCATGAACTTTTCAGGTATTGAGGGGCTGTGGGGTCCAAAAGTCATCTGAAAATGATTGAACACATGAATAATGGACATGAAATTTAAATTACAACATAAAATAGAATGGTCATGTGTGTAAAGACATGTTATGTTGAATAGTCACTTTCAAATTTATCTTCCTTTAAGGTGGTCGAAAATAACATGGCTGCGAATATAACGACACAAAACATAGACCAATGTTGATATATTTTAAACAAATTCAGTCTGTAGATGTGTTATGTGTTCAGGTACCAAGTGTTGAAGTCAGCTAATGTTAGCTTGCATCAACCTTCAGTTGTTTAAAACTTTTACTTTAATGACAATCCCAGAAATCCCAGAATCACAAAAATCAGTCCATCGTGGTGATTCTGTGTTAGAATAGGCCCACTGCAACCTATCCTTGTTATAAGGGACGAGTTAAGTGATTGGGTGGTCAGGTTCAGTGACTTGGTTAGTTGCTTGTTATTGTAACAAGATGACAGTGATAATATCTAGATTCTAAATATGGCCACCATGTCAACCATATTGAATTTGTCATCAATGCTAAATTATATTACATTGTACTTTGGGGCATAGTATTATTTTTTTAACTGCTGTTACTTTAACTGCACATACTTCACATGTGCCCCCTTATCTACAATTACTGCATTTTCGTTTAGCCCTTTTGGTTTTATGCATATACCGGTAAATTGGAGTGATGAATGGAAAATATCAACACAGTAAATGGTGACACAGGAGTGTATTAAATGTTATGAATTGATCTAAGTGTTAAAATGAAAATGATATTGAGAAAACAGCCACATAATAAAATATATAAGTACCCTTTATCAGAGCGGCAAATCAGTTCTAGAAATGTGAATTTTATTGGGATTCCAAACTGTATATTTGTTCAAGATAAGGATTTGAAATATCTGATGTTGGTTCTTTTTGTAATGTTGCAACATAAACATAAATACAGTCATCCCTTGCTAAAACACCCTTCATGAAATACCACAGATTGGGTTAAACTTCAGGTAAAATACATGGGTCCCATACATTTAAATACTTCCCCCACAAACGCATTTTTAGGTCATCGGAAATAGCATATCAACAAATCTGCTCTGAAATTATGCAAGTTAGTCCTGTTGTAAGGATGCACAGATGCTCTTGAGAAGTGTCCATTGTATCATCTAGACTTAGGACATATGTTTGCAATCTATTTGATTAAGTTAAGTCATATTTTTTATTTGAAATACTATGTGCTTCTTAAAACACTTGCCTTCAACTCTTTGTTCTTATGTTTTTGATCATGCAACTTTCTATGTACTTATTGGGTTGGAATTATCAAAAGGGTAGCAGTTTTGGGGCACCATTGCTGAGAAATATGCCAGAAAATAAATCTTGAAAGTGTGCTTTCACTAATTGTTGTTAATAAAGTGTATAAATGGGCTGAGAAATGTGTGAATTTGAAATATTTGAAATATTTTATTTGAGGTTTGAGATAAAATGCAAATTTTACAGTATTTTAACAGAGCTCCAGATAAGATTTTTGATTCAGTTTTTTTGTGGTTTCAGATATCTGCTTTATGGTGATGTCATGAACTGGACGCTGCACTCTTGATTCCAACACTAATATTGTCATGACCAAATGTTAAAGTTCATATTCAGCAAGTTGAAGATAACTGACACCATCTTTAAGTATAAGTTTCACAAATATGGTATTCAGAAGTTTTTTGTTTTCACTACTGATGTATATATAGTATAAAAAAATGGATTTCTGTAATAGAATAAAGTATTGGAATACATGTGATACTAGTTGTGTTTCCGTCACCACAATCTCATTAAAATCAGACCTTAGTTCTCGCTACCACTAAACAAAGACCTGAAGACATCCCATTAGGAGTCACGTCAGAACGACCTTTCATTCGACCAATCAGAGCGTCGCTTACCAGATCATGAAAGTGACAGTCAGAATGTGATTTCTAATCATACAACCTCGAAAACTTTTAACACAGGGTATTCCAAAAGATAGTTACAGGTTTAACGAATGAATCCATACAATCTAGACCATCTATTAGCCACTCCAGAATGTTCTTTTGTTTATTTTTCAAATTTGTAATCGAGAATTTGTCCAAATATGTTTAGAAGCGTAGTCGCCAATTTGAAATTAGTGCCATAAAGTATGAGAAAGCTGCCTTCTGATTGGTCATTCTATTGGTCGGTCAAAGTTCGCACAAGGTCGGTCTGACGTGACCCGTACTGGGATGTCCTCAGATCTTTGTTTAGCTGTAGCAAGAACTAAGGTCTGATTTTAATGAGATTGTCGTCACCATAGTGTGGATGTTTTATGCTGTTTGAGAGAAAAGTTGGCCTAATGGTCTAAAATGCTTCAACACTGCAGAGTTGTGTCGATTGGTTATGTGAAGATCCATTCTGATCACTGGTTTGGAGAATAGTGACCTTAAGCTGAACAGATGGACATGTGGCAGTGTGATTTGAAAGTGAGACACAAATTTATGCAACCACATGAGGTATTGTGGTGCTGAAACGAAGGATCATATTCTGGATTTGAACCCATGACCAGTTCATCAAGTTCCATCAACCATGACAATTGGGACACCTGTGCACCCAAGTTTCTCTCACTCTACTTCAGCAAAATTGCAGTACCATAAAGGCAGAAATTAATAAGTAGGGTCAGTGTGACTAATAAAGCAGTTTCTTGTCACTTTTCGGCCCAGTTTTATATCACAATTAGACATATATTGGGTAGGAACACTACCCCTAGAACCTTACGATTCTTGTTCTTTTGAGATTCCATAACAGCTGCGTCTGATTCAAGAATAATCCAGTTTTACATCACTGTCGGACATACGTTGGGAAGAAGCCCAAACCCAAGCACCTCACGATTCATGTTTCTGTTGAGATACGATAACATCAGCATCTGTATCACGAATAACGCAGTTTTACATCACTGTCGGACATATATTGAGTAGAAACCCTAACCCTAGCACCTTATCATTCATGTTTCTGTAGAGATACGATAACATCAGCATCTGTATCACGAATAACGCAGTTTTACATCACTGTCGGACATATATTGAGTAGAAACCCTAACCCTAGCACCTTATCATTCATGTTTCTGTTGAGATACGATAACATCAGCGTCTGTATCACGAATAACGCAGTTTTACATCACTGTCGGACATATATTGAGTAGAAACCCTAACCCTAGCACCTCATGATTCATGTTTCTGTAGAGATACGATAACATCAGCGTCTGTATCAAGAATAATCCAGTTTTACATCACTGTCGGACATATATTGAGTAGAAACCCTAACCCTAGCACCTCATGATTCATGTTTCTGTAGAGATACGATAACTTCAGCGTCTGTATCAAGAATAATCCAGTTTTACATCACTGTCGGACATATATTGAGTAGAAACCCTAACCCTAGCACCTCATGATTCATGTTTCTGTAGAGATACGATAACATCAGCGTCTGTATCAAGAATAATCCAGTTTTACATCACAATTAGACATATATTAGGTAGAAACCCTAACCCTAGCACCTTATCATACATGTTTCTGTAGAGATACGATAACATCAGCGTCTGTATCAAGAATAATCCAGTTTTACATCACTGTCGGACATATATTGAGTAGAAACCCTAACCCTAGCACCTCATGATTCATGTTTCTGTAGAGATACGATAACATCAGCGTCTGTATCAAGAATAATCCAGTTTTACATCACAATTAGACATATATTAGGTAGAAACCCTAACCCTAGCACCTTATCATACATGTTTCTGTAGAGATACGATAACATCAGCGTCTGTATCAAGAATAATCCAGTTTTACATCACTGTCGGACATATATTGAGTAGAAACCCTAACCCTAGCACCTCATGATTCATGTTTCTGTAGAGATACGATAACATCAGCGTCTGTATCAAGAATAATCCAGTTTTACATCACTGTCGGACATATATTGAGTAGAAACCCTAACCCTAGCACCTTATCATTCATGTTTCTGTTGAGATTTCGTGATATCTGCGTCTGATTCACGAATAACGCAGTTTTACATCACTGTCGGACATATATTGAGTAGAAACCCTAACCCTAGCACCTCATGATTCATGTTTCTGTAGAGATACGATAACATCAGCGTCTGTATCAGGAATAACCCAGTTTTACATCACTGTCGGACATATATTGGGTAGAAACCCTAACCCTAGCACCTAATCATTCATGTTTCTGTAGAGATACGATAACATCAGCGTCTGTATCAGAAATAACCCAGTTTTACATCACAATTAGACATATATTAGGTAGAAACCGTAACCCTAGCCCCTTATCATTCATGTTTCTGTTGAGATTTCGTGACATCTGCGTCTGATTCACGAATAACGCAGTTTTACATCACTGTCGGACATATATTGAGTAGAAACCCTAACCCTAGCACCTTATCATTCATGTTTCTGTTGAGATACGATAACATCAGCATCTGTATCAAGAATAATCCAGTTTTACATCACAATTAGACATATATTAGGTAGAAACCCTAACCCTAGCACCTTATCATACATGTTTCTGTAGAGATACGATAACATCAGCGTCTGTATCAAGAATAATCCAGTTTTACATCACTGTCGGACATATATTGAGTAGAAACCCTAACCCTAGCACCTCATGATTCATGTTTCTGTAGAGATACGATAACATCAGCGTCTGTATCAAGAATAATCCAGTTTTACATCACTGTCGGACATATATTGAGTAGAAACCCTAACCCTAGCACCTTATCATTCATGTTTCTGTTGAGATTTCGTGATATCTGCGTCTGATTCACGAATAACGCAGTTTTACATCACTGTCGGACATATATTGAGTAGAAACCCTAACCCTAGCACCTCATGATTCATGTTTCTGTAGAGATACGATAACATCAGCGTCTGTATCAGGAATAACCCAGTTTTACATCACTGTCGGACATATATTGAGTAGAAACCCTAACCCTAGCACCTTATCATTCATGTTTCTGTTGAGATTTCGTGATATCTGCGTCTGATTCACGAATAACGCAGTTTTACATCACTGTCGGACATATATTGAGTAGAAACCCTAACCCTAGCACCTCATGATTCATGTTTCTGTAGAGATACGATAACATCAGCGTCTGTATCAGGAATAACCCAGTTTTACATCACTGTCGGACATATATTGAGTAGAAACCCTAACCCTAGCACCTTATCATTCATGTTTCTGTTGAGATACGATAACATCAGCGTCTGTATCAGGAATAACCCAGTTTTACATCACTGTCGGACATATATTGAGTAGAAACCTTAACCCTAGCACCTTATCATTCATGTTTCTGTAGAGATACGATAACATCAGCGTCTGTATCAGGAATAACCCAGTTTAACATCACTGTCGGACATATATTGAGTAGAAACCCTAACCCTAGCACCTTATCATTCATGTTTCTGTAGAGATACGATAACATCAGCGTCTGTATCAGGAATAACCCAGTTTTACATCACTGTCGGACATATATTGAGTAGAAACCCTAACCCTAGAACCTTATCATTCGTGTTTCTGTAGAGATTTCGTGATATCTGCGTCTGATTCAAGAATAATCCAGTTTTACATCACTGTTGGACACATATGGGGTGGAAACTCTAACCCTAGAACCTCATGATTCATGAAATACGATAACATCAGCGTCTGTATCAGGAATAACCCAGTTTTACATCACTGTCGGGCATATATTGGGCAGAAACCCTAACCCTAGAACCATGTGATTCATGTTTCTGTTGATGTTTAGCAACATTAGCATCTGATTCAAGAATAACGCAGCTTTATGTCACTGTCGGACCTATATCGGGTAGTAACCATTACCAAAGCACCTCGCGATTCATGTTTCTGTTGAGATAATATGGTGACATCATTATTTTGGTACTGTCTAACTTACCATCTGTTTGGATGTAAAATCATAATCTGTAGCATGGATTGCCAGGATTGTAATTTAAGCTATAGCATGGTGGCTGGTAAATGTATTGTGGACAAGGCAAATCAGTGGCTGACAAGATCAGCAAAACCCATGACATTTGGCACATTAACACAATCAGCCATTTGACATTATGTCGTTCGGTGATGAATACATGAACACATTCATGCCTACATAATACTGTTTATCCTTGTCATAATCAATCAACTACAAACAAAATTCATCATTTTGCTAGTTCTTTATTGTTGAGGAAACAATAAACATAAATGTAACACATGAAAAGAGTTTTGCCTCAAAATGCTCAAAACAGTGTAAGTGAAGAAATTCCATGCACAGTATATTTGTAAGATGCTAAATTCACCATATATGATAATTGATATTATGAATGAAAAAAAACCACCTCACATTATGAAACAATATATAATATGAATCATATGTTTAGATGCACAGTACTGTCCATGAGTATAGGGAGAAACACTGTCCCTCCACACAGTAGCGAACTGATGCTACTCCCTGCTGATCTTTTCACTACTGAGGATGCCAATGCTGACTTCAACACTCTTCTTCTCAACACTTCTTCTTTCCAGAAACGTACAGGGCATAGTTGCTCTCCCTTCTCAAAGCACACTGTATTGGGAGCTGTATATGTAGTTTAGCGTTGGTGTAAACTGATACCATCAAGTTTCATTACAGCATGGTAGTTGCACTGAAAAGGTTGAAAATATTCACATAAGTGATGTCATCACCATTGATTGAACATTTTCCATGGAAAAATAACTTATGATTTAACTTCAATATAAATAAATCCACGTAGTACACCTTATTTTTACATTTATACCCACATTAATTTAAAAGTATATTGGAGTCAATTCTTTTAAATAAATATGTCAATATCAACAACTTCATAGACTCCTTCTTTAATTACTTACATAAAAAAACAGGAAGACAACAATAGAAAATCAGTGACATTGTTAAACCCAATACATGTATAATGAAAAACAAGCGTTTCCCATTCTATTATCAGCCAATCAGGAAACAGTTGACCGTTTGTGGGTATAGCATACATTTATTTTAGGTTCATGGCAACATCAAGTTATGTTCCATTAAAAATGCCTGTAAAGATATTATAGTTTAATATCATGTTGTCTCACTTAAATTCAAAACTTAATGGGAAGTTATAATTTGCAGTTATCTCAACTGGCAAGGAATTTTTCTCAAGCCAGTTAAATGTGTCCAGGATACAAAATTAAGATGGTGTTATTACCACAAATATTTTCTTGAACAAAAATGAAAATATCTGATGATAATTTGTGTACTTTTTGTAATTCACATCCAGAAACTGATATACATTTATTTTTTGGTAAAAGATTTCTGGCTTCTGGACACAGACTAATAATTTGTATCTGGATATTCGTGTGAAGGAAAATGTGATAACAGATGATAATTTGATCTGATTTTGTTATTTTCAAAGTATGTAAGTGTAAGGTTCTTAAAATACAACCAAATTTCTAACATTTTGTGAGGGAGATGACTGATACAGTTAGACATCAATTTCGAAAAAATATATACTTCAACAAAAACATGCATACAAATTTTATACACAGTATACTGACTCCGAGTGGACCATTCCTTCTTTTAGCCCTTACTACCGAGAGCAAGACAGGGTAACAACAAGTACCATCTTTTAACGTCTTTTGGAATGATGCTTCAAGGGATCGAATTTCTGACCTTCCGCTCTCCGAGCAGACACTCTACCAGTACACCATAGAGGCAGTCAATCAGACTTGGAATTTGATGAATTTCAATGAGTTAAAGTAACTAAGTTGACAATCCATCAGTTTATTGTTATTTTCTGAGAACTAACAATCAAAAGTACTTTTCTTATGTTCACCATTTTGTTACTTTTGTTCATTAGTGTAGAAAATTCTGGATGGGAAGCATTTTATCTGGACAGGAATATTTGCAAAGTTGCCTTTCCGGGAATTTTATACGCTGCTGTTACATAGCGACACGCTTAACATCAAATCACAATCTTGATATCATTGCTGGGATGATTCAAGCCAAGTTTCAGCTTCATAGGCTTTGTAGCTCTAGAGGAGATGTTGAAAGTTTAATCGTTAACGACATACATACCAGCAGAAAAAGGTAACTTTTCTTAATAAAAAGTCCAACAAAACTCAATCTCATTAAAATCAGATCTTAGTTCTCGCTACCGCTAAAAAATGATCTGAGGACATCCCATTATGGGTCACGTCAGCATGACCTTTCATCCACCCAATCAGAGCATCACTTACCAGATCCTGAAAGTGACAGTCAAAATGTGTTTTCTAATCATGCAACCTCGAAATATTTAACAGAGGGTATTCCGAACGACAGTTACGGGTTTTATGATTATATCCATACAATTTAGGCCATCTATAAGTCATTCCAGAATGTTGTTTTGGTCAGTTATAAATTTATTTAATCGAGAATACGTCAAAATATGTTTCGAGGCGTAGTCGCCAGTTTGAAACTAGTGCAGTAAAGCTCGAGATAGCTGCCTTCTGATTGGCAAATGTCGATTTCAGTCATTTCATTGGTCGATCAATGATCGCGAAAGGTCGTTCCGACATGACCCGTAATGGGATGTCCTCAGATCTTTGGTTAGCGGTAGCGAGAACTAAGATCAGATTTTAATGAGATTGAACAAAACTAAGTTTAATCTGAAATTAAATAATGCATCTTTCAATATGCATATTGATGAAGACATCTCCTCAGTTTTAAGGTCGTGATTCACAATTTGCATGCAAATGTTTATGGACTGCGCATAATTTGTGTGTTTGCATGTTTGTTGGGAGCAAGGTATTTACACACGTTTTCATAATGTAAACAGCACACAATGATTGTTTAGCTCTCTGGGTCTAATAAAATCTTTTTTCTTTTTGTTCAACTGTAATTAATAATGCTGTCACGGCTTGATGACATGTTGCAAACACGAAATGCGCAAAACGAAGTTGCCAAACATTTTTAATGTTCATCGAATCACAAATATCATCTGCCACATTAATAATCGGACAATTCTTGGGTTAAGACGAATTAGTGGCAGAACTGTACATTACCGGTTGAGAGAGCACAACATCCGGTCCCAACATTCAGCAATATGCCTAATTTTGCTTACACAGGACTATCAGTCACACTTGGTGTAGACAGCATCTGAGGTTCAGAAGAAAAACAGGGACAGTACACTGTTCACAAATGAATGAGGGTTTCATCTGAACTGCTCTGATGATCATGCAAAGGTCTACATGCATACTGGAGAATGTTTTAGCAACTCTTGCATTACTTATCATCATCAGTTTTGGGGTGGAAGTGTAATGGTATGGGGTGGCATCACAACTCATGGGAAAACACAACTCATCATTGTTATGAGGACATTGTTTGAGATCATGTTCTTGCCTTTGTGCACATGCAGGGACGTAACGTCATGTTGCAGCAGGATAGTGCCCGCCTACAAGTTGCACCCCTCTTTGGGGGCGTGTCTCTCCGTCTCCAATTACCTGGAATGGATTTTGTCAAAGAATTTGTTATGATAAAACATTGATGAGACAAAAGACCAAATATTATGTTGTAATTTACAATAACATAACATTTACACTACTTAATACACAGCAGTTACTTTTTTCCATTAGTATAGATGAACACAGCCATGACATAAGCTTATTTGAACCTTCGCTTTGTGTAAGCTACAAGTGATCATCATCATTTCTACAAAGTTAAGTTTCAGCTTCCTGGAGAGTGTAGTTTCTCTTTTTTTATTTTCATTCTTAATTGTTTTTCAAGAAGCAATTTCAGCCCCTCCATTTCTCCAATTTGAATCCCCACCATTGGAGAATTGATTCCAACCAAATATGGTTGATATCTATCTCTTAGTTCCAGAGAGGAAGTCGTTTAAAGCAATATAGCCAAATTACTCCTATTTGGCCCTGATCCTTGGGGGGTCAGCCCTCTCCATTTGTACAATTTTTAATCCCCAGCATTGGAGAATGCTTCCAACCAAATATGGTTGATATCTATCTCTCAGTTCCAATAAAGAAGTCATTTAAAGCAATATAGCCAAATTACCCCCATTTGGCCCCGCCACCCAGCCCTTTGGGGGGTCAGCCCCACCATTTGTACAATTTTGAATCCTCACCACCTAGGGATGCTTCCAGTCAAATTTCGTTAATTGTCAATTTGTGGTCAAAAGAAGAAGTTTTTTGAAAAAATCGTTGACATACGGACGACGGACCCCACGGTATGGCATAAGCTCACCTTGGTGAGCTAATAGTTGTGTCAGGATGACAAACACCAGACAAGCAGGCCATGTTGTTTGTATTCAAAAAGTATTTTGCTTTATTTTGTATATTTGTCTTATCTGGAAAAATAGTCTATGCTATATTACAACCAGTTTGTTTAACGACATGCAGACATGAATCCTATGTTTCGAGGCGATCAATGTTACCTTTGTTGGGTGCAACTGGACCAAACAAGCTATTTGCACCAGGCTTCTTGTAACTGGACAGTGAAACCTGTGAACATGGTATACGAAGAATGAAAATCTTCATAAGAATAAACACAACACATGACACCACAGAACTGAATGAACAAATTGTAAAATAAAACACTGGGACAACCACATAACTTAATCCGAGTCCCATTGTGGTGCTACACATGCCAGGTGTCATTAAGTTTTAGTTTCCTTGGTTTCTGAGAAGAAAGTTCTTAAAGTTGAACAAATCAGAATTGGAAGCTACAAAAATACCTTTGCAAATGAAGGTTAAAAAAGTGTAATAAACATCCATCAACCTCTTCATGACAACATTGCTAAGGTTATCTAGGATAAACAAAAATATGCCTCATTACGAACCATTTGAATGGGCCTGAAACTGATCAGAATTTATTTTTAGGGAATTAAATACTGGTAAAGGTCATCATAAATAGATTAACAAGATTATGCAGAAATAAGTAACAAATGGTCAGATACACCAAATGATATGAATATTTAATAATGATTGACAAATGAGGAAAAACGAGTGAATTGTTTATGACCACTTAAAATAATGGTGCTTGGTCCAGGCAGGCAAGAGGTTGATAGCACTAACAACTATCCATGTAATTGGGGTGTAATGTCACCAAATCAGCCACGTCACACAAAACTGACATTCCATATAGTTGCCCTTTGGGAATGTTAAGAATCAAATTCTGTGACTACGTTTGTGAGACTGAATTACTTGGATCATGTCCGTAACAATCCAAACAGTGTAAGTATACCTGTAATCTAGATACAAGGGTGCATGCAAAGGGTATGACCATGGCATGATAATCTGAATCTGAAATCTGAAAAGAACAGTAGATCTATTTTATACCATTGTTGGAGTGCATGATAACACACATATATAACCAATCATAGCTTCACTTCCAAAAAGATTCATAGGAAATATTGCAGGTACAAGGTTATTACACTTACTGGTACATTCCATTATTAGGACACAAAAAGGTGAAAGATGATGGCATGACCAAATGCAACATATGATCACTGAAACATAGCACATTGGAGATTGAAATATAGTATTACAGCCTGTTAAATGAATAACACCATGATACATGAGTACCTGGACAAAATAACATTCAATATGGCTGCAATGTCGTCACCCCAAAAAATCACAGACACAGTTTACCAGATTCAACCTAATGGAGGCCAGATGTGCCCATTGTATTGGTGCCATTAAACTGACTCATGTAACAGAGCTCCAGACAGAGACCATATAATAGAGGGACGGCCCTCACCAACAGTTTATCATGAACCATCAGCGCTACGGTCTGGCATGTAACTGATACACCCCGACACCCTGCTGTTAACCTCTCTGTACCGCTGCAGATGCGCAATAGATGCGCAGACATTCACGACTGACCATTCTGGTAACCACGTAAACAATATTACATAATATCCGGGGTAAGAGTTAATTCCCTTAGCCGAGATTTCTCCGACTACGACCAGCGACAATCCAATAAAAGGACGTCCCTTAGCGGATTACAAAGATTTTTGTATGATATCTCTCATTAGCACATGTCAGTTGGCTGCAAACTATTTGCTGAACATGTGTGTCTTCCGGGACATTTATTTCAATTTACATATCTCATTTTATGCTGCAATTGTTAACTATTATAAATAAACAAATATACCAAATCTACTACGAACGCCACAGAAAACTACGATCCGGTAAATTGCACAGGAACTCAGGAAGTGTAAATAAAACTCATTCAGAAGCAGGGAAGACACTTGTAACATATCACCCTATTCCCGATGTTCACAAAATATATCTCCAGATTAACTTCATATCTTATATTAAGTCCAGACTAGATTTACTTGCAAAAATGCATGATCACCGACTGGTGTAAATGCTTTACTATTAGCCAGAAAAAAAATGACGCCATATTAATGTTTTTATTTCATGTAAATTCGCTACTATTTTATAATGCTAATAGTTCCAATGAATTAAAAATACATATTAAACTACGAGCGTTGTTAAATGAATTTTCGATGTGTTTGACAATGGGCTTCGAAAGAATCAAATGTTATTGGTTAATGCCAGTTTGGGGCTAGCAGTGATAATAGGGTTTGCCGGAGCGAGATAAGTTTGACACCTTCGACCTTGTTGTCTGGAACTTCTCTCCCGACGACTGCCGATATAATCCTTCTTTTTTTCTTGGCATTTACAAAGCAAATGATAATTTTATAATACAAATATTTCATGTAACGGATTTATATTTTTGTATGATGTTTTCATTGTTGTGTAAATACACAAAGTAAGTAGTACCTTCATCATATTTACATTATTATGATTGGGTTTAGGCCAAGATCATTTTGCTCATAATCAATATTTACACGGCATAAAATAAATAATTGATTAAATGTAGTCATGATTAATACAGACAAAATCTTCAGAAGATAACAAATATGTAGTATTGTAGTATGTAGTATACGCGCGATATGTGATAGAAGCCTAACTGAAACAAAGTTAAACTTACGAAAAAATGGCGAAAGCAAAGGTAAAAAAAATACGCGTCTTACAAAAACAATATCATACAAAAACAATATCATACAATATAAGTCACTTTGTATAATGTTTCAAAAGATATATGCGGATGATAATCACAGACAAAATGCATGTTATTTCGTCTGCTATATGGTAATTTAATTTAAAATATGTGACGTAAAATATGGCCTTGCGCCAAAAATCATACCAAAAAAACTACCGATCGTACCTAAATAACTTTGGTACCAAGCCAAAGGGGAAATCGTGATGAATGTAAAACTATTTAATTCAGGACCGATGATAGGAACACATTCGTCTGAAAGCATGCGGAAATTAAGAGTTGTGGTGTAATTATTTCGGGAAAAGTCAGATTTAGTCCCATTTCTGGAGTCAAAATCTGAAATATCGCATCCGCCCTAAATTTGTAAATGGCACTAAGCCAGTTTTTAACATATATCCTTTTTATACACCTTGGTAACCAAGGACTTTCATTGCGAATTAGAGGCCGTTATTGAAAATCAAAATCTGCACTTTTGCCGATTTTACATGTGCGCCATTTTGTTCTCTCGGACAAAGACAAAGCGTGATCACAGTCATCAAATACAGTGACAACGACATGCTTTAGGGCACCAACAAATCTCAGTTGTAATGTTAACAATGTTAAGAAATACATGAGTGTAATTTTGTTTAGTAAAATATATCTTTTGCATGGGAAAAAAAGGCGACAGCGATGACTGCAGTTAACGCGTTTCTGCTCGCTTCCGGACAGGCTGCGCAGTACAAGCCGTAGCACTGATGGTTTCGCGCATAGGCTAGAGGGCCGTCCCTCTATTATATGGTCTCTGCTCCAGATAACTTTTTGAGCAATTCAGTTTTTACTTTAGGGTTTCTATTTTAATTGGGTTATTACATTTTTCATTGGGTAACCAATATTTTTTCACTCATCGTTTCATCACTCTCTTGGGTCTTTCCCAAAATTAGTGAACATTTTAAGATTTCAAAAAAATGAAATAATGTTCTAAATACATAGGTTTGACTGAGAAAGTAAATTAGCTTTTTATTGTGTTTCAGAAATTAGCTCCTTTGTATGCATGCTGAAAAAGCTTCATTGGGCATTTACGCGAGCTGTTTTAATAATTTGAGTTTTTCATTTAATGCATGCGTTTCTGTACACAAGTTAATGGAAAGTAATTGGGGGGTATTTTACACAAATACGCTGCTTATCTGTAGCTCTGATGTAATAATTTTTCCCTTCATTACCTTTTGGCTGTCCCCTCACATGACTGACAGAAATACTGTTCGAACAAACTTCCCTGGGTATAGGTGTTAAAATGGCTCTGTAGCTTCCCTGTACTTTTTCATGGAATATATTATTACAACAAAAAGGCAATACAAGGGTATAATAAATAAGCAAAAGAAACAAAACTATTTATCTACAGAACAGACTTTCTCACAGCATCTTGACCAATTAAAAGGATGACAGTATATGCAAGAAGACAAATTCACCATTATCCCCTAAATATTAAATACTTGCTATGGAAACTAAATATCCCAAATTATCAAAAGGCACCAGTTCAACACTAGACCTATCTATGTGCCATGCTTGTTAAGGAAATATTGTAAAAAAAAATTAATCTGCATAGAAAGGAGCACTACCCTCATTTTCAGTATGAGTCAAAGTTGTGGCATCTCAAAATATTAATTTAAAAAAAGTCCTAAACTATTAAAAGGCACCAGTTCACCACTAGACCGATCTGTGTGTCAAGTTTGGTGAAGAAATATTGTAGATTTTTAAGGTATGTTCCAAGAACGATCACTACCCTCCTATTTCAGTCAAAGTTGTTGCCATGGAAACTAAAAAGATAAATTTTACAAAAATCCAAAACTATCAACAGGCACCAGGTCACCACTAGGCCTATCCATGTACCATGATTGGTGAAGAAAATAGTAAACGTTTTTTCAAAATCTTACACAGAAGTATGAATGCAAGGACTGACCATGTCCATTTTAATACCCCCGCAAAACATGTTGTGGGGGATAATAATTGGTAATGAAACGAGTCAAAAGAACACATTCATCATGACTGCTGCAGCAGCACATGAAGACAAAATGTTGCAGTTCCAAATATAAGAAAAACTTGCAAAATATGACACTGTGGTTGGGTTTACCAAATAATTACTGTATATCAAATTTCATAATGTAAATGCAGAAGTGGCTTTCTAAAGGGTGAAAAGTATATGTTCAATATGGTTGCCATGTCTTGACAGCTTGAAGTTGTATTGGCATCATGTTAGTGGGATCAAATACACAAAATCTCAGCTTATTGAAAATATGATTTTCAGAGAAGATATTGAAAACACAAACAAACTTCATAAGGTATGTGAAAGTTTAAGGCCACAGAAGGCACAGGTAATACAGTCATCCAAGAAGCCACCTCAATTTGCTGGGCAGAGTTGCATCCCTGTCTGTCTCACAGTCCTTGAACCATATTATTTTCCCTTCCGCCCAGCCCATCTCACAGGGTCTACTTTAAACTAAAATGAATATAAAATGTTTCTATCAATATTTTACATTTTCAGAGACTAAGCAGCATCCCTTTCATATGCCAGAAATCTATGACAATGGGTTCAAATCCCATAATTACCATGATTATTTTCCTTGGTTTGTCGGCACCATTTCCACGCTGGTTGGTCTCATCAAGTGGTAAATATCTAAGATGTTCCTCCCAGATCAAGCAAAAAATACACCAATGTAAACCCCATAACACATATCAAGTTTCATAATGCCACATCTGAAATGGCTGTGTAATATGCAAAAGTTATATTTTGTAAATGGCCTCATGTTTTAGAATATCATTGCTGAGATTTCAGTTTCATAGGCCTTGTAGATTCAGAGGAGGTTTTGAAAGTGTACAAGTTAGTTATGGACAGATGACAGATAATGCACCATGACATAAGCTCATTTGACTTCAAATTGGATATTCCTGTATTCATGATAGCCTGTAGTTTGATTACAGTATACCAACTCACACCTCATAACTTAATAAATGGCCTAAGGTCTGAGGGAAAGTAATACTTTCACAATATAATCAGGTCAGGGAGTTTGCATAGTGAATGGTTGAGTTGGCTAATGCAACTTAGAACAGTGTTTCAGTAATATCACAGTGTGTCAGCTGATGATCCAGTGAGGAAAGACTGATATAATGAGGTACCGATAATACTACAAATGTGGTATTTCATATCATGACATCCATGATTTAATTTGATGTATGATGATTCCTCTATTGTTATCCCTGACTTTATCATGGTGGCACTGCATACAGATAAATGTTCACAGCACCTGTGCTTAGCTTGTGCTAAATCTATACAACAGTAAATTAGCCTTAGTATAACAATATAAATTAATGTAATTCCCAACATGTATAGGGGTAGAATACAACATACCTGATTTCCTACAAGGGTTGCACCTCAAATTTCCTGAATGTGGCAGGACACAGCCCACTTGGATACCCTGGGAATAAAAAAATGTGTAAATTGGTACTGATATCTTGACATATTGGTTGCAAAGGGAGGTAATCAATGATACATGTATAGTTTACTATAAATTTGACCAATGCACAATAATCTTTATGATCCTTTATTAATCTCATATGTCTACATATTCCCTCAGTCTTCATCATAACAACAACAACAACAACAAACAAAAAAATGGGCATGTAGACTAGCGAATTAGAGCGTGGGCCTTATCTCACAATGGAGCGAACGCCAGAAATGGACCTCACTTTGAACCCAGAACACAGACTTTTCAGCAAAACAAGTTAATTAACACTAATAATCTAGATGAGATTTGATGCTTCCCCGATGATATATCAATGTTAGTCCAACACTCATTCTGGGCCTACAGACATAGAATACAAACATGCGTCATGTGCAGGGTCAGCAGGCACGTTGACGTTCTCCATCTCAGTATCTGAAAATAAAAAGTACCATAGTGAATGGTTGTAGACTGTAAATTATGTTTGCACAACGACTAGATAACATTATGACCAACGAACAAGTAAGAACAGATAAACAAAAAGCAAGATCTAACCGATAAATGTTTGATCGAAAACCGATCGCTATGCCGGCCAAGGGGGATAACTCTTTCTGACCACGTCGGGACGATGTTTCCAAAGACAAATTTTAACCTTGTTTGCCAATACATTTTGTAACGATCAGTTCTTATAAATATGTGTAGTTCTATTAAACAAATACACATACAATGGCATGTATGAATGAAAACCGTAACGATCTTCTATTTAAGACCGGATTACTATACATATAGGCTATCTATAGATCTATCTATTGGTTGTTAAAATTGTAATTAGGTGATGTATAAAATACATATACCGTATGAAGATACTAAATCTAAGTCTAGCCTGTCTAGACCGGAGATAAAAAAAACCCCAACAAAATGATGACAGACATCCTACCATCTGCTGAATGCTGTGTTGGACACTGCATATTCCAATATGGCGTGAAATGCGCCCCTGTGAACATACATCCTAATATGGTTATGCTATTTAATTGTTACTGTTAGCTAGTAGTAGCAGTAAATGTTAGTCTCCAGAGACGTAGAGACCGTCTTTGTACCTACTAGTAGCAGGTCATAGTTGCTAACAACTCTGTGCTAGTAGTAGGTAATATTTCCTGGATCGGGTGATACAGCATACATACCGTCCGTAGCTAAACTCGTCTTAGTCACAGACCTAGAAGGCAATCAGCATCAACTACACAGCTGACGTCATGAACAATGCCCATATTTTTTTATTTTACGGCCATAATCTCTATTTTTAGAACTCTTCACCCGAACGAAGAGGCGCAGAAATGTGAATGCAACACACTGTTACATCTCGTCTTAAATCAATAGTCAATGATGACAACAACGATGACTGTAGTTCAAAACATGGTATCTTTACTAAATCCTCAGTCACAACTGACCCTTCAGCCTAACTGGCATTACCAGGACAAAATTAAAACACATGCACATGCCACCACAACCAAGAAGAACATTTATACATACCGTAACTAAGGATACATGATAATACATTCTACACTGTGATGGAAAAGGGGGATAACTCTTGTAGCCCTTCTTGCATACCACTAATAAAATAACAACCTTTTACTATTAAAGAGCGAGTTAGAGTTAGGTTTATTTAGAGTTGAGCATTTGTGTTTGTGTTAAAAGGGTGATAGAAATAATGTACAAGTGTCACTACTTTGTAGCCGTCGATGTGGCTGAGTGTTTACTGCGTGGCGTTGTATAGTCTCCGAGATGATACTCATTTATCAAATATTCTATTTGGTTAAATTGGTTTTAACGCCGCACACATATGCATGAGTGGATAAGTTTAACATCGATTTGCATATTTGTATTTCGAACTGATCAATGCTTTTTGTATGTGAAAATGCTAGTTAATTTGGAGGTATCAAATGGAATTTGATGCCTGATTTTAATCCTATTTTGACCAATCAGAATCAAGTTATCTTCAATGTCATGGTAAAATAAGTATTTCTGTTATATCACGGTGTGTCAGCTTAATGTGGAAGGAAAGTGATCGAGGTCCTTCAAACTAGTTACTTATGCAACTGTAGAGTGAGTAGGTTTTTTTATATTATTTTGGTGTAGCTTGAATAACATTGAAGGAACATTGCCGTCAAACGTTGTGTGGTATATTTCACAACCTGTGGGTAGTCGTGCTGGACAAACCGGTGGTCGAGAGCGTGAGTGCATGAGTGAGTGAGTATGGTTTTACGCCGCTTTTAGCAATATTCCAGCAATGTCACGGCCAAGAAATTGGCTTTACACATTATACCCATGTGGGGGAATAGAACCCGGGCCTTTGGCGTGATGAGCGAACGTTTCAACCACCAGGCTACTCATCTGTGTCCACTCATCAGTTCATATATTGGTCTTCAGCAACCAATTCTTGCCGTAAAATGCGACTTTGCTTGTCGTAAAAGGCGACTAACGGTATCTGGTGGTCAGGCGGCTCGCTGACTTGGTTGATACATGTCATCGATCCCAATTGCGTGGATCGATGCTCATGATGTCAATCACTGGACTGTCTGGTCCAGACTCGATTATTTACAGGCCGCCGTCATATAGCTAGAATATTGCTGAGTGCGGCGTTAAACAATAAACATCAGTTCATACTGATCGGCCATTGTGACTCTTTGACCCCGTTTAAGTAGGCCAGCACCATTCGTCACCACTCGCCCCTTTCCGTAACCTGCAAGAAGACTCGTCCCCCTATCGATGAATGTTATGTGCGAAAATACGACAAACCAATCTGAATGCGCGTATGATTTAAAGTTCTTCGTCAAAGAATCCCTCAGAAATAATTTTTGATTTTACATATGTCTTGCACATAAAAATATACCCAAGACACAGTTAAATGTGTTCAATCATACTGTATAATTTCGCATGTCCAGATGTGCTTTAAATTGCATCTAAAGTATGTATAATATATGGGTCAATATATGTGAACCATCACGCAACGAGTTGACAATTGTTTTAGGTATGCCCGTTTGCGCTAAGACGAAACCCGGTCGCAAAAATGGCCTTGAGTCGGTATTCGGCTTGTCCCGAAATAACACGAGTTGGTCACGAATACCATGAGAGGGGCACGAGTCGCTATTATGCTTTTCCCGGAATAACACGGGTTGGTCACGAATGGGCTAGCACGACAAGCATGATGTACTTGAATGTATTCATCCAGAAATCCACCCGATGACATCTGCATAAGTATACATCAGTTATACAACTCGTGTAAACAAGCCGTGTCAATCGCGGGCAGCCGACAAGTCACGTGGTCCTAGATCCTGTTGATTTAATCCCTACCTGGGTGTGGAGATGTGTTTACCCGCCCCAGATCCGACATCCGACCACAGTTACACCCACTGATGTTCTCCATTACTGAGTTCAGCTTCCATGATTTGACCCCAAGTTCAAGGCTGATGGGTCTGTTTCGATACTTCCGGTGATATGTTGCCAGTGGTTACTGCGATCGAGATGGCGCGTCCAGGGCCCCGTTCACAAAGCGATCGTAGCGCTAAGACGATCGTAACTCCCATACTTTAACATAGACATACGACTGTCGTAGCGCTCAGACGATCGTAACTCCCATACTTTAACATAGACATACGACTGTCGTAGCGCTCAGACGATCGTAACTCCCATACTTTAACATAGACATACGACTGTCGTAGCGCTGCTGTAGCTTTGTGGAACGGGACCCAGGCTGATATTGTGCTTGGCAAGTGAAATGTGGCAGGTGAAATCACCATACAACAGAACAGCCTATGATCGACCTAATGCTACCATCACACCAAAGTAGTTCTATCCCGGTAGAACGCGTAGTTTGGCGTAAAATACGATGCTAGTTCGTTCAGAAGCAGTCCACAATACGTCTATCTCGTTCTTATCTCGTTCTTAGCCAGTCTGCAGTCCGTTTGTATCCAGTTCAGATCGTGTAAAAAGTGCCCGTTCACCTTATCCCGACAACGTTTCGAAGCAGTTCGAGCACGTCCGTAGCCGTTCTCAACCCGTTCTTAACCAGTTCAACCTCGTTCTACCTCGTTCCCAATACGTCCAAGCCAGTTCTAACTTATTCTTAACCCGACCAACTCGTTCGCAGTACGTCTTCATCTCGTCCCAAGTGCGTGTGTATTCGCGTCCTGGCCCGTCCTGGCCCGTCCTGGCCCGACTCCTGTGGATACCGAGCGCGTTGTAGCCAGTCTTCATTCAAGTTCAAGTCGACCCGGTCGGTGTGCACACGTTCTGAAATTTATGTCGGACTGCACCACGTCGTAACACGTTCCTAGTAGGTTCGAAGTACGGCAATTCCGTTCGTAATACGTCTTTCTCGTTTTAAGTACGTTGTCAATCCGACCAATTGCGAAACGGGATGGACGGGATAAAATTTTGAGAACCCTCCCCGTCCGAGCCCGTCCATGAAGTTCGTAAAAAGACTGTCAATAGTTGCTACTGCGTTCATACACAGTTGGAGCCCGTTCAACAACATTTTCACGAACGTATTGAGAACTAGTTTGGTGTGATGGGGGTATACGTTTTTGTGGGCTGTCATGTCACTGTAGATAGCCGAGAAGGATAAAATTACGTACTAGTCATTTGTAATGTTCTCCCATTTCACGACACTTAACGTTGAGCAGTAAAGACAGAAATATACCAGCAAACATCGTTTGTTGTCCGATTTAGACATATGAATACGATAACCTTTTGAGGGGCATTTAGAAGTTGGAGTACTAAGTAATGATATGATATATGAAAGAATAAGTTCTTTATATAACAATCAGGAGAGACGTTTCGGTGTAGGTTCTAACACCGTTGTCACTTAGCTTGATAACGTTGTTAGAACCTACACCGAAACGTCACTTAGCTTGATAACGTTGTTAGAACCTACACCGAAACGTCACTTAGCTTGATAACGTTGTTAGAACCTACACCGAAACGTCACTTAACTTGATAACGCTGTTATATTAGAACCTACACCGAAACGTCACTTAGCTTGATAACGACGTTAGAACCTACACCGAAACGTCACTTAGCTTGATAACGACGTTAGAACCTACACCGAAACGTCACTTAGCTTGATAACGACGTTAGAACCTACACCGAAACGTCACTTAGCTTGATAACGATGTTAGAACCTACACTTACATTATTGTAATGATGAACTTAGCCATATATCTTAGTGGGTGAGTGAGGTTTTACGCCGTTTTTAGCAATATTACAGCAATATCACGGCGGGGGACACCACAAATGGGTTTCACACATTGTACCCATGTCGGGAATCGAACCCGGGTCTTCGGCGTGACGAGCAAGCGCTTTAACCACAAAGCTACCCGACCTCCCCCCTTATATCTAAGCCTTACTTATGAATATTTCCATGTTTGTATCGCAATGTTTATCTATGTAGAGACGACTCCGGTGCAATGATGGATATCAATAGTTGTCTTTTTAAAGTGCGTGAGTGAGTGAGTGAGTGAGTAGAGGACATTTGGTTTAACGCAATGTTTAACAGTATTCCAGTTATATCACGGCGTGTCAGCTTGATGTGGGAGGTAGGCCCGAAGTGTAGCAGGTC